GATGCGGCAACCAGTCAAAGCCGAGCGCCTCGAGCTCGGCAAATCGGCCAGGCTCGTACAGTACGTCTTGGCTCGGTTGCGGAGCGAGCTGAAAGTGCGTCCGAGCTTTAGGCCGTGCATTGACGCCGGCCAAGGCGCATGAGACGGAACGACGTAGCTAGTGGGGATCTGGACGTCACCGTGGAGCGAGCGGTAGAGTGCTGCGGCCAGCACCGTCGTCTCCCACGGCATCGCGCTTCTTTTTATGTATGGTGGATCCCTATCATGTCCCCCCTCCGCGAGCCAAGGTGCCCACAGTAAGCCCATGGATCGTTGGCAGAGCGCTGCTCTGGGAGGCCATGACCGAGGACAGCTGAGTTGAGGGTCGTAGCTTCGAAGCGCTTGAAACCGCGCCCGTGATGGCCCTGCTACTCGCAACCTTGTCGGCTCTGGTAAGTGCGTAAATTGATGGACAACGCGATAAGTGCGGGTAGTTTCACATACCAATTTTAATATTGAAGGAAGCTATTGCCGTACCTAATCGAATAGAGGTCGCTCCTCCTGTGACGACGCTAGGCTTGTGTGTGATTGGCTAGAAATGCCAGATTATATCTCGAACAAGGGCGTTGATTGGCTAGACACCATTTCGGTATATGAGTGTTGTAGGATTTCATGCCTGGACGCAACAAGAGGACTGCTCGTCGTTCACGTTTGACTACGACTAGTGCAGGCAGGATGTGGAGTAGTATATGTAGTTATTGCCAAGCCTCTTACCTTGTATTGTCGCCAATACACCTCGTTACATTCCATGTCTCCAGCGATAATCATATAACTTGCGCCACGGATCATCCTCCAGGCAGCTTTGCCGGATATCACACAAAGCACTATACATCATAATTACGGTCTAAATATGGGCAGCGGGGCCACGGACGTCTGCCGGCAAATGGGGCATTTGTCGAGCTGGACAGCGCAGCCGAGGCAAAAGGTGTGGCCGCACGGCGTGAGCGCGCAGTTGACTTGGTTCTCGAGACAAACAACGCAGTTCCAGCTGTCGATGACCTTTTGCTTCTCCTCGAGGACGCCATGCACGCGCTCGACAGCCTTCTTGCAGTGGTCGCTCACGACGAGGCACTTTTGCTGCAACTGCGAGCACTCTTGCATCCACTCGCCCGCCAACTTGTCCTGGGCCGTTGCGAGCAGCGCCTGCGTCTTGGCCAACTCGTCCTTGAGCCGCTTGTTCTCGATTTGGAGCTGCTGGACATGCACGTCGACCTCGGGCCGGCGGCGAAGGCGACTCGGCTCGTCGAGGACGCTGCCGTCCTTGTCCTCGAGCACGCGGTAGTGCGGAACCCACTCGTCGTGGTCGCTCGCGTAGCCTTGGTAGTGGACAAAGTAGTCGGTCGCCGACGTATGCAGCACGCGTGCCTTCATGAGCGTCGCGCCTTTGTAGACCTTGACGAGGTCGTGGCGCTGGAAGCGGCTGTAGATCGGGGTCCTCGCCTCGGGCGAGGAGGTCCACTCGTCGCGCTGGTTGCCAGCGTAGGCAGCCCCGAGGTACTCCTTCCCGAAAAGCTCGTCGCGGAGGCCGGCGCGGATGGCGCGGCCGTCCATGCGCATCGCGTCGCCCTTCATGCTGCGCTTTTCCGCCGAAATCGAGAATGGCATCCCTCTCAAATCCGCACACTATTTAAATAAAATACAAAATTGCATTTTCAAGCCAGGAAGATCGCGAGTTTTAACCAATCCACGACGCGTGCACTTCCCGCCAAGCGCTTGGATTGGTCAAAAATGAAATAAAGCAGGCCAATCAAACATGTGCAGCCACGTACCAAGCACAATATCCCGCGCGACGGCCCGAGTCGACGAGACTCGCCGCGACTGCGTCCATCAGGTATACCTCCCACGTGGTCCAACGTCCTGTGACAGCAGCTGCGGCCTTGGCGTATGGGCTAAAGACGGCTAACCTTACAACGCATCTGAGTTGGCCGAGGAGTCGCCTCTGAGCTGCCTCCTGGCCTTGACATTGAGCAAAGTCTTGCCCATCGATATACGCAGCCAAGCTATCACTGGATCCAAGTTGACAGTATAATGTTTGCAGTCGACTCTTGTACTGCTCACGCTGCAGCTACAGTCGCTACGCAGTCTTTTGGTCGAGAAGAGCAGACAGCTCGGCGCAGAAACGGTCGACCGGGAAGCCGATGACATTGTTCATGCAGCCGTCGACGGTCTTGACAAAGGCGCGGCCGCCGCTTTGGATACCGTACGAGCCGGCCTTGTCCATCGGTTCGCCGGTCGCAATGTAGTCTGCGCGCAAATAAGAACTGATTGTCATACCTTGAAATTGTACCGCGAATGGTTTGTTCTTGGAGCGGAAGGAACTGGACCTGGGTCACGTGGCTAAACACGTGCGTCGACGTGCCCATGCAAAGCGCGACGCCCGAGAACACTTGATGCGTCGAGTTGGAGAGCGATGAGAGCATGCGGAAGGCTTCGGCCTCGTCCTACGCACGACCACCTCGATCAGTCTGAATATATGGGGCTCGGCATGCGCACCTTGGGCTTTTCGAGGATCTTGCCGTCGTGGACGACGACCGTGTCGCAGCCAATCACGAGGTCGGGCCGGCGGGTCTCGGTCGCGAGGCGTCGCGTGACCTCGAGCGCCTTTTGCTTAGCATTCTCCATCACATAGTGCTCCTACAGCTGCGTAAGGTGACGATACCATTGACGAGCGTCCGCACCGGCGTCGGGAACGCGGCCTTGTCCAAGTTTTCTTCAAACGTCGACGGAATCACATCAAAGCTCAAGCCCTGCGCAGCCATGAGCCTCTCGCCGCAGCCGCGATTCGTACCAGGTTGGTCAGGAGCTCGAGGCGGCGCGGACTCTACCACAGGACGTGAGCGTACCGCTGCCATTCGACGCTTGCACCTGCGACGCGAGGACGACCCGCCACGACTGGATGCGCTGGAGCAACACCGACATGGCCACGAAATGATCCGGTTACGAACACGCGTATCCGGAAAATATACGTGGCAGCGAGAGACGACGCGAAGCATTCTGAGGTGGTATTTAACAAACAACTAGTTGAGATTGAGGAGGAACGCCGCGCCGTTGAGGACCCAGTGGTCGGGGTTCTGGCGCGTCGGGAGGTACACGGCGACGACAAAGTTGGTCGACATGCCCGTGGTCGAGAGCGTGCCCTGGCGCACCGACGTCTTGTACACCGGACACGGGTACTCTTCCTTCTTCCGGAGGATGTTGGCGGCAGGTAGAAAGTGCACCATCGCCATCGGCTACAATAACCTCTTATGGGCATGCTGAGTGGCATAGAACGTACGCTGAACATTTCGCCAGGTCGCGCTTCTTCCAAGCAGCGCTTCTTGGCATTCCACCGCGCCCCCTACCACCCCGTATAAGATGCGGCGATACTGAAGCGAGCTGCACCTCGAGCCAGAGACCGTCGACGTAGATGCCGTCAGCAGGCGATTCGGAGATGGCGGAGGCTGGGACGTCCATGACGGAAAAGGTAAAGCCGAGACAGTCGATGGCAGTCTGGTATTTTCGAGCAAAGTTCTGGAGCGTCCCCGTCATAAACCCCTAGTCCAGTGAGCTCGACTCTATAACTTGTGACATTCGTACTTGAGGAAAGAAGAAGGCCGGCAGCGGAAAGACCACGGGCTCGCCGTTCACGAGCCAGGTGCGGAAGAAGGCGACACGTCCGAGCAGATCCTGGACCCACGGCCCGAGGCTCTTGAGCGACGCAAAACTCACGACCTCCCAGATCCCGGGCACCTGCACCGCAAAGTTAATTCGGGTAGTTGTACACCGAAGGCACGTACTTTGCCGTTCAAAAAGGACGTGTACATGTTGTCGAGGTCGGACGACATGACGATGAGCCCTACAAAATACTCGTAACTAGTGGCTAGGGCAACCCACATACCTTGGATGGCGCGTTGAATGTCGGCGAGCGACGCGCGCATTTTCACAAGCAGTTTGTTGAACTTGACGAGCTCCTGCGAGAGCACAGTCGCGAGCGAGTCCATGACGACCGTGCCCAGCACGGTGCGCGTCTTGAACGTCGACGGGCCGGCTTCGTCGAGGCGGAGGTTGCCGGGAAGACTCGCTTGGATCGACGCTGCGAGTTCCAAGACACTGTCGTCGTTGCTGACGCCACCGCCACCGCCGCCGTCGCGCGGCTCTAAGCTCAGGATGATGTTGATCATCTGCGCCGACTCGTTGCGCTCAAAGGTGACGTTGGCGTTCTCGTGCATGCCAAAGATCTCGGGGCTCGCGTGCGCCGGGAGGTTCTCAAAGTACGAGACGATGCTCGCGAGCTCGGGCGTCGATGGCGCGTAGTAGGTTCCGGAGGCGGAGAACCGGTAGCTGTCCTGGAGCACACCCGGCGTGTAAAAGCCATTGAGAATACTCGTCAAGCAGCGCCGGTCCCAGTCGTCGGTGACGCGGCCGCCGTAGTTGATTTGACCTGCCAGTGCATGAGCTGCGAGTCGTCATAAGAAGAAGTGGGCACCCGTGACGTAGCGCAAGGCGTCCCACGGAATGGTCGGCTGCTCGAGGAGGAACTTCTTGAGGCATTCGTACGACGTCTCGAGGTCCGTGTCGTTAAACTCGTACTTGATGTTCCAGCCGAGCGCGCCTGCGTAAAGTTAGCGAGGGATTGAAGGGGTAGGGTACCAAACTTGCGGCGCTCTTGGATGATTGCGTGGAAGAAGACGAGACTCGCGAGCAGCTTCTTCCACACTTGGCTCTTGGTCCAAGTTGCGCCGCCTTCCTCAAACGAGCCCGCTACGTAGTATTGCATACGATCCAACGATCCATCAATTGAGCGACGTACTGCCCTCGAACGTCTCAAAGAAGCGCGGGTCGGCGCTCTGGAGCATCGCAAACGACCGAATGAGGTTGGCGCGAATGCCCTTCGGCGGCTCGTTGGTGAGCTTGATGCCGTTCTGCAGCACCGTCACGGGAAAGTACGCGGCCGGAAACGACGTGAGGAAGAGCCGGAACGTGTCTTGCACGCTGGGATCGCACGCCAGGTCATCGACCTTCTTCTCGAGCGACGGCATCCACGATTTGGCCAAGTGGCAGTTTTGCAAGAGCACCCAGTCGCCAATCGACTTGCTCGTCTATCGCCCCACCGCTCAGCTCTGACTATTCCGATACCAACGCACCTCGATGAGGGCTTCGGCGCGGGGCCCTTGGCCTTGGCCGAGCGAAATCAAGTGGAGGCGGTCGCTGAATTGCCGGTCCTTGGCGAACCGCAAGAGCATGCCGGTTGGGTCGGCGCCTACAACACACCGCTTGCGACAAGGCGCTCGAGTCCATTGTACCGGCGCTGAGGACGAAGATGCAGGGCGTCTTCTTGTCCGTGTCCTTGTAGATCTCCTCCATCGAGACGGTTCCGAGCTGGCCAAACCCACTCGCCATTTCGAGCGTGAGCATGTTTAGCAAGCAGCGCTGGACCTTTTCCTGCGCGAGGCCCTTCATCAGCAGCACGTTCTGGAACGACGAAAGCCGCGCGCCGATCCCGCGGGGAGATCGCATTGGGCTGGGCACGTTGTCGCTCGACTGAAGCCACGCGAGCCACTGCCTCCACTCGCTCACGAGCGACTCCACGAGCCCTTCGGCCGGCGCGCCGACAACAACTTCCATCTCCTGCAGCAAGGCCCACTGCGCGTCGGTGATGGTATCCGGCGCCGGGTTGGGGACGCCCTACGCGACTTTGAAATATGCTTCGCAAGAGAGAGCGTACGTGCTTGGCGCCGCTGACGCCGCGGAGGAAGAGCGACCACTCGTTTGGGGCGATGCGGCCGTCGTAGAGCATGATTTTGCAGCAAATGAGCACCGAGAAGAGGACCTTGTGCACTTCAAAGAGGCCGCGGCAGATGTTGGTGTAGATGTACGTAGTTTGAAAGTCGATGAGCATCGCGAGGCGCGTCGAGAGCACGGCGGAGGGCGGCGTCGCGTCAAAGCAAATGTTGAAGAGCCGCTGGAAGAACGGCAGCGAGTACTGGTACATCGGGTCGATCGTCGCGAGCTGCGCGACGACAAAGTACAAGATCGACCCGCGGGTGGCCACGCTGCGGTACTCTTCGCGCGTCCGGTTGATCTCGAGCTCGGTCGCCTCCGACTCTTGCACGCGCTCCTACGCAGCATCAGCACCGTTGCATCAGTAAACGCGACGTGCTTTGATGATCTTGGACGTCGCGTTCGAGGACGCAAGCGTGTCGATAAGCCCTTCGTCGTCGAGAACGTTGCCGGACGATTCCGAGAGCTTTTGAAGGATGCGGTCTTCGATGTCCTTGAGCTGCTTCTTGTCTTGGGCCATCGTCACGACGAGGCGGTTCTTCTTCTCCTCAATGTCCGGTCGCTCGTGCTTGACGGCGTCGCCGAGCAGCTGGTCCTCGAGCCCCGTCATCGTGACCGTAAAGTTGATGATGGTCACTTTGATGTACACCTCGGGAAGGTAGTGTGGGTTGGCACATTTGGTTGTGATCCAGAGCCGAAAACTCGGGTCGTAGTCGACGTCGCTGTCCCCAAGGTGGATGAGGAGCCGCCCGCCTTGCTTGAAGATCGCCTTTTGCAGAATCGGCTCGAGCGACGGCTCGAGCGTCTCTTCAATGTCTTCGATCAAAAGCGACTTGCCATTCTACCGCAAAATGCATCAATTTTCATGTAAAAAGAGCGAGGGTCGGACGCGAATGCAGCTCTCGAGCGACCGGAGGAGGTTGGCGTTCGTCATCTTGGTCGCCTCTGGGAGGTATGTCTTCTTGATCCACTTGTTGGCTTGGCCTTGCGGGTCGATCATGAGCGGCCAGCGCTCGCCGCGCGTCGCCAGAATCGCATTGTCAGTCGAGTTCATATCGGTGGGGAGGCCATTGAGCTGCCACTCGCGCACTTCGACGGGCGACCCGAGCGTCGCCGCGAGCGAATATTTCGACTTGGAGCTTGGAATTTCCCGCGCGTCGCACTCGGCCAACCACGCGTCGACCATCTGCTGCCGATAGCTCCCGGTGAACGCGCCATAGTAACTAATACTCGCAGCGGCGAGGAACGTGTCGCCAATGACGGCGAGGACGCCTTCGACGAGGCTTGCGACCGTCTCCTTCCAGCGCTTGCCTTCGACGCTGAGGCCCGAAATGAGCTTCTCGGCGCGCACGAGGCGCTTCTCGGTCGTGCCGGCTTCGCGGGCGAGCGCATCTTTCTCGTCGAGCGTGTCTTTGCACTGCTTCTCGAGCATCATGACGTTCTCGTTGACCTTGCGGAGCTCGTCTTGCTTGGTCTTGAGCACGGCGTTGGCGGCTTCGAGCTTGGCGTTCATCGCATCGAGGTTGGCTTGCTTTGGCCCGACCTCCTTGGCGACTTTGGAGTAGACGTCCATCGCGTGCGCCCACATGCAGAGCGACGTGGCGGCTTTCGACACTTTGGAGACAACTTCGACGCTCATGCCGGGATTGGCCACGCATTTCGAGAGCTTTTTCAACAGCGCTTCCGGAATGTTGTCCTTGTCGTAGTTGATCAACCGGTCGAGGAACATCGAGTCGCCGAGCACCTTCTTGGCCACGTCCCACGTCTGCTTCTCGCCGAGCAGAAGGCAGACGCACTGCATGACAGTCTCGACGGCCTCGGGCGGTTTTGTAAACGACTTGACTTCGGTAATGTCGCCTTTCGAGAGCGAGTTGAGCGCCGTCTCGGCGTTCTTGAGCGCCGGCATGGCCACGTCGAGGTCCTTCTGCGCGTCGGCCTGCAGGATCGACACCTCTTCCGCTTGCTTGCCGACGACCGCTTCGTCTTTGGAGACACGCGCGCGAACCTCCGCTGCCGCCTTTTGGTCGATCGACACTTGCTTGAGCAGCACTTCGGCCTCGGCAGCTTTCTTGGTCAGCACCGGCTGCAGTTTGATCAAGTCGCCTTTGAGCGCGTCGACAATGCTGTTGGTCTCCTCGAGCTTCTTGACGCCGATCTCCATGCGCGTCTTGACGCTCTGGAGCTGCTCGGTCTTTTCTTTGAGCATTTTGAGGTAGAGCTGGATGAGATCGAGGTACGACTTCGGCGTCGTGTACACGTGGCGCTGCAATTGGCGCTGGAACGCCGTCGCTACGTCGTTGGAGGTCGTGTGGACGATGGAGCACATGTCGATAAGCGCAGTTCGTAGGTCCTCGGACGGCAGCGGAATCTGCGAGAGGAACCGAGACGCGACCGACTGCAGCGCTTCTTTTGGCCAGTTCATGTACCAGTCGATCGTGCAGCAGTTGATGAGCGACGGGAACGCGCGGCAGCGCACGCGGAGCGCCGACCCGACGGGCGACATGCAGAGCACAATGTGCAGGAAGTTGCGCACCCGGTACACGAACGTCGTCAAGCACTGGTCTCGCGTCTCGGGAAGCCCGAGGGCCTTCACAACGGGTCGCATGTCGCCGACGATGCGATCCATCTCGTCCGGCGCAAAGAGGTTGGGCACTTCGCCGCTGTTGAGAATGTTGTTGATGTCTTCCAAGAACGACTCGTCGACGATCTGCGAGTCGGTAAAGAGAAAGACGGTCGGGACCCCTTGGACGCCTGCCTTGAGCATGAACGTCTTGATGTCTTCGTGAAACTCCGTGTTGCTATACCCCCGCGTGATCTCAATCTGGTGGCACGACGCTTCCTGGACAAACGCCGCCAGTCTACACATTACCATCAATATATCAAGCATCTATATAGAGAGAGTGAAGTACCGCGCGAGGCTCTGCTTGCCCGAGCCGCCGACGCCGATGAGCATCGCGTTGCCGCGCGGCTGACGCAAGATGCGCGTGAGGCGGAGGAGGTGGGCGATCGCGTCGCGGAAGAAGACGAGGTTCATCTTGTTGGAGTGGCGCATGTTGTAGTCCTCGTTGGCCGACTCGAGGAGCCGCACGACGCGCCCGTGGTCGTCGCACATTTCGTAGAGCGGGTTGGGTGTGCCCGGCTTGAAGATGTCGCCAAAGATGAGCGGGCACGGACTGTGGAAGAGGTCGTTCTTGGACCACGTGACGTGAAAGTTGGTCGAGAGCAGCGACGTGACGAGGTCTTCGAACCACTCCGTGTCCGGAACTGTGTTGAGCCGGTCACCAAACACCCGCGCGGCCTCGTGCACCCAGAGCTTGTTCATCGTATCGGCGTCCTGGCATTTCGACGGCGTGATCATGAGCAGTCCTAAACACTAGGTGAATTCCAAATGAACAGTTGGTTGATACCTTGAAACACTTTGGAGACGTCGCGGAGGTTGAACGTGTAGTGAAACTTGCTCGGCGTCGGGAGAAGCTCGCTGCAGACGCGGTTGTACACCTCGATGATGCACGTAATGATGCCGTTGCGCATGCTTTTCACGGGCGCCGAAAAGCGCTCCAAGAAGCCGCCGAGGATCGACGAGAAGATCTGCTTGAGCGACGACTCGCGCGCCGGATGCATGCAGAGCACGTGGAAGTGGCGCACAAAGCGCGGCGTGCAGTGGGACCGCCCGCCACCCGCGGGGGCCGCCGCGCACATGAAGAGCGTGTCGGCGATGTCCTTCCAGAAGAGCTTGTCGCGGTCGTAGAAGCCGCGAAAATCGAGGAATTGGCGGAGGAGCTCGATTGGCGCCTGCGCGCCGTAGACCTCGACGGCCGGGAGGTTGACATCGTCCACAAAGATGACCATGCGCTTGTTGCCAAAGGGTCCGAGGAGGTTCTTTCGCTTCTTCTCGAGCTTGGCTTCAATCGTCGACTGCGTCACGAGGCTCGACGTCTGCGCCGAGAAGCTCATCATCGTGCTCGCAAATTCTATACAAGGGCTAGGGTCTCGAACAGGCAGTGGGATAGGAAGTACTCGCAGGCTCGTCTTCGATGGCGGTCGTGAGTTCTCGGAGGAGGTCCATGACAATGACGGTCTTGCCCGTGCCCGTGACGCCCGTCATATACGCAGGCGTGTTGTTCATCGTGAGCACGCGGAGAAGAAACGTGTAGCGAATGGTGTCGGCGGTCGCGACAATCATGTCAAAGTATGGCATACTAGACGTCATATAAGACACTATTGTCCACGCATATACGTACCTAGCATTGTACTTGAACTCGGGCACGATTTCGCTCCAGGGCGAGAACCGCTTGTTGGCCAAATCGACGTAGTAGTCGAAGACGAGGCCGTGGCTCGGGATGTGCGCCGCAATGCCTAGTCCATGTTGTCTCTATTGGACTATCGCAAAAGGATTTCCAACCCGCCGACTCGAGGAGGCTTCGGAAAAACGCGTCGAACGGCTCGAGCGTGTCTTGGCTCATGGACGCGCCGAGCGACCAAATGAGCGAGAAGCAAAAGAGCTTGTTGACGAGCTCGAGCTGCTCGGGCTCGTCTTGCAGCTTGAGCGCGATGAGCTGCGGGAAGAAGGCGTCGAGGAGGCGACAGCAGTGCGTCACGAGCTGAATGTCGACGGTCGGGACGGGCTCGGCGCAGTTGAGGCGGACAAACTGCAGCACCTTCTCAACGACCGCGGAAATGTTGGTATGGAGCCGATGCAGCCACGCTGGCGGAAATGTCGATGGACGGGTTTGAAGCCACGTCTGCACATACGGGAGCCACCCCACGTCGGTCGATGTCATGTACACGACGCCGATGCGGCTCACCTAATGCGCCCATGAGATACGACGATAGACGAGCAATGTACAGTCGCAGGGGACGCAGCGCAGAGGTCCATGACCTCGAAGAGCATGCGCATCTCGGTCTTGAGCTTGATGCGCTCGCCGTTGGCGAGACAGAGAGTCATGTTGTCGTCCAAGACCGTGTTCATGTTTTCGATCCAGAGCGCGTCAATAGGTCCGTCAAACACGGTCCACTTGTAGTCTACTCCCGAGATCGCATCTTCAACATGCGACGAGAGGCGTGTACCGCCGTTGTCTTCGTTGACAGCTTCGCGCATGATCATGGACGCGAGGCCGTCGTGCCACTCCTGCGTGAGGTCGTTGAACTCGCCGTAGAGCTCGCCCATCGTGATGCACTTGGGATTGAGCACGCGCGCGTGCACAGCTTGAAAGAGCGGGTTGGTCGACCTACACGACGCAGTGTAAGGAACCACCAGAGAGGGTGACCGAACCCTTGCTGCCGCAGCTTCGTCATGATGTTTTGCAGCATGCGATAGCATGTGGTTTTGCCCGCGCCTGTCGGGCCCACGAGCGTGCCCCCAAAGCGGACGTTGAACGTGTCGAACATCTGGATGATCTTGGTGACAAAGTTGGGGACCTTTTGCAGCTGGGCCTTGGCGACCTCGGCTTCGAGGCACACGAGGAGCTCGCCATAGTCGTTGGACGGAATGTCGATGCCGGGAAAGAGGTCGTACACGATGGCCTGGAAGAGCGGGAGGTCGTCGCTCAGAAACTTGGGCACGTTCGAGTCGCGCAGCGCGCGGATGAGCGTCACGTCTTCGGTCAGCGTCGGGTTGGCGCGCTTGAGACTACCCGCCATGACGAGCACCGACTTGACCGCGCGGAGCCCGTAGTCGTAGTGCGGCTGCTGCGAGAGCTGCTCGCTGCAGAGGATGTAGAGCTTGCACATCTTGCGACTCAGCGTCTTGGCGTCGCCAAAGCCCTCGGCGAAGAGCATGATTTCAGCGATGAGCGCGTAGTCGGGCACCATCATCGAGACGGGCCGGAAGCAGACCTTGAGGTTGTCGGGCAGCTCGGTGCGGCCGGCGTACCCGGGGTTCATGGTCACGATGACGTGGTGATCTTTGAGAAGGATCTCGACACCCATGAAGTTGATGTGCTCCTTTTCCTGGAGCCGGCCCTCGCGCAGCGTCAGTAGCTGCTGCGCGACGACCGAGAGCACTTCGATGTCGATGCGGTTGAACTCGTCGAGACACGTCCAGTTGCCGGCTTGCGCAAGGCCTCGGAAGAGCTTGCCCATCATCTTGTAGTCGATCTGGTCCGAGCAGTTGAAGACGACGCACTGGATGGCCATGGCTTTGGCGAGGTCCTTGGAGCTCTCGGTCTTGCCCGTGCCGGCGGGACCGGCGGGGGCGGCCCCCAGCTTGAGGCCATACGCCCCCGTGAGCGTCATCCAGCAGCGATCGGTGAGCGGTGTGATGACGAGGCGAGACGTCGCGCCCATGTACTCGTACCCGTACTGGATGATCGAGTCCGAGTGCTTGATGAGCACGTCGTCGGCGTCCGGGTCCCAGTAGTAGCGCAACTGCTGCTGCCAGATGAAGTTACCAACGTCCACGACGCCTTCGAGCATGAGACATTCCACTAGATAGACATGCTGGTCGTAGAGTCCTACTAGATAGATATGTATACCAATATCGCGGGCGTGGACGTCCGTGGTGACGAGCGCCACAATCACCTTGCGCTCGAGCGACGAGAGCTTGCCGCGGATCTTGATGATAAGGTCGTTGAGATCGCCGACGACAGTCGCAAGCCAATTCTGCATGCTGCCAGACGTGCGCAAGACGGCCTCGGTCTCGCGCGCCCACGTCATTTGGGCTACGGTCGCGACGACTTGCCCAGGGTGGTCGACGACCCACTCCTTGCGCAGCCGTGTGTCGTAGTCGGCGAGACCGTACTTCATGAGCTTGTAAATCGAAGCTTTCATGCTGACTTCCAGGGCCTTGAGCCAGTCCTCAACGTTGCCCTATGGAAGTTGAGTCGGAATGATCGAGCACTCGAGCCATACGCGGGCCTTGAGGTTCTTTCCGAGCGGCACGCGCTCGTTCTCGGACGAGAGCATCGCGACCATGTCGACCGACCCGTCGCCAAACTCGAGCTTGACGAGGTTCTCAAAGCACTTGCGCAAATGGGGCTGGACCGCGTGTGGGTTCTTGCTCTGCGCCAGAATCTCGAGCAATTCGTCGTTGGAGAGAAAATAGAAGCGCGGGAACGCCATGCGCTTCGTCTCGAGGTAGTCTTCGAGCGACTTTTGGATTTTGTCGAGGTGCATGTTGTGCTGCGTGAGCGTCTCTTTGATGCCGGGAAACGACCCGGCCGTGATGGCGATCGGCGAGTCCGCCGTGCGCTTCATGATGGCCTTCCAGCTCGCGTCGACGTGCGCAAACACCTTGGACGCGTCCGGGAGCTGGCGCTGGATGTCGGGCGCCGAGAAGATGGTTTCAATGTACATCCAGTTCTTCTGCACGAGGAGCCACTCGTCGAGCGTCTCTTGGAGGCCCACGAGCCTCCGGCGCCACGTCTCGACCTCGTCTCGGATCGCGCCGATGAAGCGCGAGCCCAGGATCGTGTTGATCGTCACGATCGAGTCGTCGAGCGCCGCGAGCACCTCGTCCACGGCGCCTACAGAATTACATTACATTACATAGTAGAAGGGAGCTATACCGAGTACAAAGACGTCTTTGGATTCCTTGTACGGCTTGACTTCGAGCTCGAGCGTCTGCCACACTTGAATGACCTTCTGAAGCATGGTCTCGAGCACTGCTTCCTGCTGCGCCGAGACAGAGACGACGCTGATCTCTTCGCCGTGGGACATGGCTTGCCGCGCCATGAGCGTCCCGAGCGTCAAGGACGCATCGCCCTACAAGCAACGGAAATGCAGGCCCGTCGCAATCGCCACCAACCTTGACGGTGAAGCCGAGAATGTCGTGGATTTGCGTCCAGTGACGATCTTGGAGAAACGAGCCGCGGAGGTCCACGACCACGGGCAGCACGAGCTTGAACTGCTCGACTTGGACTTGGAGGGACTAGTCGCCATAGAAAATACACAGCGAAACATATAGCAAAGTACCACGGCGACTTCGTTGGCCGGGAGCGCGCGAATGGCTTGGGACGCGAGCTTGAGGTAGCCCTGCACCTGGCTGCTCATCGCGTCGACGTCAATGTTGCCAAACGTCGTTTCGTTGTACGTCACGGTCGCCTTCTCCCACTCGCCCAGCGCCGTCCACAGCCTGCGTTCAAGATGTATCAACTTGATACTTTATAGGTCGCAACGGACCGTGTCTTGAGCGTCACGTCGTCGACTACGTCCTGGATATCTTGAAACTCGGACGGGATCTGCTTGAGCTGGATCTGGTACTCCTTGATGCGCGCCGCTTCCGCCGCCAACTGGTTGACGACGACCTCTTGCTCCTGGAGGAACGCCAGCGCGTCCACAATCGACGTCTGCATCGTCGCGAGCTTGGGATTCGCCAGTTTGTTGGAAATCGCTTCCTACATCGCCGTCGATTCCACATCACAATGAGGGAAAGCGTACGACGCTGCGCGTGAGCGGCGGCAGCATGTCGTTGATGAGCTGAGTGAAGCGCGCCGTCTCGCCTTCGAGCTCGGCGTCAAACTTGGCCAGAGTTCCTTCGAGCGACAAGACACCCTCTTTCATTAGAATAATGTCTTCCTTGATGTCATCGGGCACGCGCCATTCGTAGTTGTCCATGAGGATCGCCATGTCGTACACGCGCCGGTACTGCAGCTTGATGGCCGGCAGGACGGTCGTCACGTGCTGCATGTGGACGACCTTTTCAACAAAAGCGTCGGGCTTGGACGGCGCGCCAAAGGCCAGCGGCGAGAGCAGGCCGAGCTCGTCGAGGATCGCGACGCTCTGTTTCTTCATGAGCTTGGGCAGAAGCGTGCGGATCGCAATGATACTCTTGCCCGGTGTCGGCAAGAGCAGCTGCTTGAACTCGTCCGACTCGACGCGAAACACGCCGACCTACGAAATGTTTCAATGTTTCAATGTTTCAATCGTGAAACGTACGGTGCCGGACGCTGGAATCCGCGTAAACTCGGCTTGCTGCTGCTGGAAGAGCGTGATGGCGTCACCAAACATCTCGATCGACGCGTCGTGGAAGTGCTCGGGGTGCATTTGGGCAGCAATGTTCTCCGTGTACGTAGCAAAGTACGGGCCAAAGACCTCGAGGTAGATCTCGATGGCTTCGAACGCCTCGTCCAAGGTCGCAAAGATGTCGGCGCTCACGCCCGAGAAGCCCGCGTCGTCGTTGAGGAGGCTCGCGAGGTTCAACTCGGCGATGCTCCACGCGGCCTTGCCCTCGTCTTCGGCGGTGGCGTTCGTGTATGCAAGCAGCATTGGGTGGCCCAGCAGTCGGTCGGGGACATCAAGCACAGTCAAGCACTGCTTCAGAATGTTCTCGAGGCTGAGCGTCCACGCTTCGGCGCTCGGCGTCACGACGATCGATGTCTCGGCGATCGCGACCGTGACGCTAAAGAGCGGCGTCGCCGCCTGCCGGCACTGCGCCAAAAAGTGCGTGAAAGAGTGGATGCTGAGCTGCAGCATCGCGTCGATCACGAGCAGGTCGGCCAGTCGCACAAAGTTTGTGAGGCTCCGGCACTCCTTCCGCAGGGCGGCGCGCTCCATAAAGGTCATCTTGTGCTCGGCGACGATCTTGTTACGCTCGAGGAAGAGGTCGACAACCGCGTCGCACGCCGCGACGCAGAGGTTGAGCACGTTGGTGCTGAAGAGGCGGAGGCTCGTCGAGAGCTCGGTGACGGCGTCGCGCTGGTCGGCCTCGAGCGCTGCGAGCGTGTAGATCTTCTTTGGCACGAGGCGCAGCAAGAGCGTTTGCGTCACCTAGAAGCAGAGGAAATGGCTGGGTATACAAAGAGGGGATAGAGCGGTACTTGAAGCGTGAGCTTGCGCAAGGCGAGGAGCGTGGGCTGGAGCTGCGGGTTGAGAAGAAAGAGCCGCTTCTCGAGCGCGTACTTGGCGTCGCGCATCTTGGAGCCGCGGATGTTCTGCTTCCAGACGTTGTAGTTTTTCCAGACGCGGTACTTCTGGAAGAACGGGATCTGGCGCATGCGCACAAACCGCGCGTACTCGAGCTCCCACTTGTCGAGCGGGCAAAAGTCGGACGAGTCGGGCGTGAAGTGCGTGATCCCGGCCTTGCTCATCGTGTAGTAGCTTGCCGGGTTCGTCTCGTAGTGCTCGACGACCTGCAGATCGTACACAACCTCGTCGCTCTCGGGCTTGCGCTGGAGGTAGAGAAAGTTGCCCGCTTCAAACTCATCGAGGTACCGCGCGTCGAGGTGCAGAGACGCGGTAAAGGACGAGCGCGGGTTCGCTGCGGGCGACGGCGTCGCGACAGGCGGAGGCTGCACTACCACGGGCGTGGGCGCGTCAGGCAGCGGGTCCAGGCGCGGGCGCAGCAGCTTTGGGAGCGGCGCCGACGTCGCCGACGCCTTTTTGGCCTTGCGCACCTTGGGCACGAGCGCCGAGCGGACCTCAATCGGCTTGGCGCTGCCCGCCGGCTCGTACAGGCGCTTCTTGAGAAGAAGGTCCATCTCCATGGGACTCATCGACGACTTGGCCTCCGGTGGCTTGCGTCGCGCGCCGCTGCGGCTGTCCCGTCTCTCCTCCATGCACGATGCAACTTGGATCTTGCCCAACAGGCGTCGATGCGAAACGATATAATACCTCGGTTTAGCGACAGGCCGTGCTTTTTCCAACTGAAAATCAATAAACGACCTGGCAGTAACGACATGGCAATATATATCGGCCGACGTCGCTTGAGTCGTTTAGTCATTCGGACCCTGGGTAGTTTAGTCATCGTTTACAGCGTAGCTGTAGTCGTTCGTGTGCTCCGATTCTCTGGCCGGCATTGTCAGGTTGGACTATCACAAGATGCACTCGACGCACAAAATAGTCTGCCTTGTGTCGACCGTGTACTGTCGGGAGCACTGGCTGAAGCGCAGCCATCTTTCTCATTTGTTGTACCGACTAGAGTAGCGTTTTCTTAGTCGTGGCATTTTGCTTTAGATTCGGCGTCATATGCGGCACATGCCACATTGGAAGCGCGTAGTGGCCGCCGACGATGCCGGCGCACCTTCCACTCGACAAAAATACGAAATCGCTTCGGCTCCGTGACGTGGTAAATGCAGTCGTCGGGAGCAGAGCGCGCTATGCTGCTCTGTCGTTGGACGTCTAGAATGCGTGTTCTAGCATCATCGCTTGTATTATCTAACTTTGTCTTAAAAAGCAGTGCTCGATTTCAGCCAATCCACAGCCACCTCCAGGATCAAACGCTGTTGCGCCGATACTTAGGAACATAGAAGATAGTCTATTATGCAGCGAAACATAAACACATGAAAGGACTTAGCCCGTGATGACGCGGACGCCGCCGAGCGACGCGATCGTGTGGGCACAGTCGTGGTTGGGCTGCTTGATGAACATGAGGTTCTTGGGCGTCTCGTACTTGCGCGAGACCCACTCGACGACGGCTGGTCCAAAGCTGCCGCCCTCAATGCGCAAAAAGTCGATGCGGAGCTTGGGGTACATGCGATCAAAGAGGCTCACGACGTCGCCAAAGCCGAGGTGGCCGCTGCCCACGTGCACGATGAACAAATGCGCCGTCTGCTCGTTCTTGCGCACGTACAGAATGGCCTTGTTGAGCGTCGGGAGGTGCGGCTGCTTGGCGAAGAAGAAGATCGGTGGCAAATTGATTGCTTGGATCACCTTGGCAATCGACGTCCTACATACGTTGCCACTAAACGTAAAACGAATGTAGTCGTACCCCGGGCCACGCGGGCTCAATGGCCCTGTATGCTCGTCGGGCGAGAGCACGGACGCGTCGTCGTCCAGAAGGCGGTGGCCCGCGCTGTGCCCCGGCGCCGCCGACGGCGTCCAATACTCGACAAAGTACTTGAGGAAGCGCAGGACGACGACGCGCTCGAACATAATCTCGACAAGACAGAGGACGGCGAGGAAGTACAAGGCAAAGTACGTGAGCACGGTCGGGTCGCCGAGGAGGTTGCCCACAAGCGCCGTGAGCATGAGGAGGACGCCGACGATGCAGCTCCACCACGGTGCAATGACGTTCCGACGCAAGTCCGCGCGCTTAAACTTGAGCAGCATGCAGCCCATGCCAAACATGACCATGAGACCGAGAAACGCAAATGTGTAGACGCCGCTGAGGAGGTCGACTTGGCCGTGCAAGGCGAGGACGAGCGACGACGCGATCGCAAAGTACAAGAGGATGATGTTGTGGTTGGTGCCCCGGCACCGATTCGTGTGCAGTAGGAACGCCGGCAGAATGCGGTCGTACGCCATGCGTCGCACGAGCCCTAGCCACATTGATACATTGATACAATAGCAAAGAGCGTTTATACCGGTGATGCCAACGTAGGACGTGAGAACGGCGCCCGAGAGAACGACGAACGCATCGAGTGCGACCCACGCCTCGAGGCGGTGGCCGCCGACGGCCTTGCCCATCGCAGCGAGCACCGTGTTCTTGTGCGCTTGGATCGCACTGAGCGGGAGCACGCCGAGCGCCAGAAACGAGATTAGCGGGTTGAAGATCACGACGCCCCACCACATGTTCTAGAGCAAAGTTCGTGCAAATGATGTGAAAATCGTCTCGTACGCGGAGTGTTTTGGGAAAGACGCCAGGCGCTTGCTCCTCGACAAACTGTGCCGAGGTCTCAAAGCCCGAGATCCCGAGCATCGCTGTCGACGTGCCAAAGAAGAGCGCCGTCCAGACGCTCCCGTCGATCCTAGCAATAGCGTGTGTCAGTATCGTATTACGCCATAAGAAATGAGTTACCATTGCCCGGCCATGTTGATGTCGGGGTACGGCGCTTGGTAGTTGCTCGTCAAGATCGCGCCTTGGTCGCGGATGACGAAGACAATCGATGCGACGCAGAGCACGATGAGTGTGATCGTGTGCACAGCAAAGATAAGCAGCGCCACGACCGCGCTCTCGCTAGTTGCTGCAGTGAGCGACGAGACGCGAGGTTGGGCGAATCGCACCTGATGCCAATGATGGCGAGGATGGCAAAGAGGAAGAGCAGCGCGATGCTCGAGTGCACGATCTCGAGGCCGTGCACTTGCGACGCGAGGTACGTGCAGGCCGACGTGCCCGAGACGACGCCTACGATAGTCGTGCTTACATGCAAGATGGGTGCTCGGGCGTACCTGTGGCTACGTACGAGAGGATGCCGAGCGCGGCCGCAATCGACGCGAGGCGCTTGCTCGTCGTGTTGAGCAGCACGTTGTAGCTGCCGCCATTGAGCGGAATCGCGTTCACAACTTCGCCGTAGATGAACCGGTAGAGGTAGAGGACGGCAGCGACCATGGCCATGGCCACGGGCGCGAGCTTGCCCGCCTTGGCTGCCGCGACGCCGGCCGTGTACAGGCAGCTCGACAAGATGTCGTTGCCGCAGATCGCTGTCGCAGGCCACTGCCCAAGCGGCGCGTGCTTGGACGCCATGTGGTCATCGATGGCCTTGAGCTCGGCGGGGTCGGCCGCATCGTGGAGCTGCCTGCCCCAGCCGGGAAAGTCCCATGGCGGGACGCGCGTGGTCTCGCCCTCAATGCGCACGGTCAGCGGCTCGGTGTGGAACGACAGGCCGTCGGCGCCGGGCGACCCATAGATCGCGTCGGCCATCGCGCTTCAGGCCGCAGGTTGGAAACGGCGGCCAATGTAACCGAAGCCGTCGATGCTGCCACAGGTTGGAAACGGCGGCCAAAGTAACCGAAGCCGTCGATGCTGCCAGTTTATTGCCCTCTTTGCAGTTGCTTGCTTTCATTTTAAACAGGGTGTTTGTATGGAGAAGCCCCACGGAAGCCTGTGGAACAAAGAACGAAGGCGACGTTGGAGCCAACGCATACAAACTTCAAGCTCTTTGTATCCAGCACAAAGCTGATCAGAAGGTGCGACCGCTCCACCTATCTCTGGATGCTCTAAGCAACAAGCAGGATTTCTGCAGGTACATAGATAGGCAGCATTGGATAGGCAGATAGCTTGCATTACGGCTTCCACGCTCTAGTACCAGCACTTCAGGGGTGAGCTGGCAGCGAGGCCGCTGGCCGCTGTGGACAGGGAGAGATCAAGTCGGCAATAAAGTGGTTTATAAGGATTTATCCTAATTTCACATGATCGACCATGTGGTCCTCCGCGAACCCAGAATCGTTGGATTCTATTACAGGGCCTTCAAGCCGACCATTACGCACGGGGTATTATAATACATTTCGGCACGACCTGACGTCAGGCTCTTCTACGCTTTTAAAATACATACAAAGCCTAAGGTATTTTTTTCATTTTACACGGATGTCATTGGTACAACAAGGCTTATATTAGGACTTTTTGCCAGATGCAAATGCAATTAAATACGTATAGATCATTTAAGCTCGCTTTGAATATGTAAATATAATTCGGGACATTAAAACTGTTTTCGGACGTTGAAGGTGGATCCTGAACCCACACCTACGCCATCCGCTGCAATGAATTACATACAAATGACAAGGTATTAAAAAAAGATCGCGACCTGGGACAGCCGCGTTGAAGTTGACGAGCATTTTAATTCGATTTCACGACGCTACACAGTGTATTTGTATACAGAATAAAACACTGCATTGTATCCGCACGCTTGATCTTTGACTCGTCGTAACCTCTACGGCCGCACGCCATCGCAGTCGCCATGTTCATTCCGCCAAAGTCGACGAGCAAGATGGAAGGCAGCTACGGCAGCGACAGCGGCCGCGACGAATCCGGCCTCCTCCAGCGCAGCCTGCACCCGACGCATGCGAACCTCAAGCCTTGGGACTTCCCCGGCTGGGGCAAGTACATCAACACCGAGGTCAAGCCGGAGGAGCTGCGGGCCATTGACGCTGAGCTCAAGAAGCGCGAGCACCCCAAGCTCTCGGAATGGCCAGCAACCGCGATCTGCGGCAATGACATCTTGTCCAGCTGCCTTTACGTCTCGGGCCTCGTGACGGCCAAGGCCGGGAAGCTCGCGCCTGTCTCGCTCGCGCTCGTGGCTGGCATCTTGTACCTCTACCGGTTCATCTATGGCGAAGTGGTATGGCTGTTGCTACCTCGTGCGCCCATGTGCTCATAAGATGACGTAGGTCAATGCGATCCCGATGAACGGCGGCAGCTACAACGTGCTGCTCAACACGACGAGCAAGCGCGTGGCGTCGATCGCGGCCTCGCTCGCGATCCTCTCGTACATTGCGACCGGCGTCGTCTCGGGCACGTCGGCGTGCACGTATCTCTCGTCGACGTTCCCGGCGCTGCCCGTCGTGCCCTCGAGCATCGGCCTCCTCTTCTTCTTCGCCGTGCTCACGTCCATGGGCATCTCCGAGTCGGCGATCTTTGCCCTCGGCATCTTCATTCTCCACACGATCACGCTCGTTACGCTCTGCGTCATGTCCATGCTCTACATGTCCCGCGACAACTTTGCCATTTTGTACGACAACCTCTTCGAGACGTCGTTCCCGGACGTCAACGTCGCCGGCACCTGGTTCGATCCTTGCCCTAGTCTCGCATTCTCAAGGGTCATTTCGTCGTAGGGTCACTGGTGACGTCTTCACCGCGCTCTTCTTTGGCACGTCGACAGCGATGCTTGGCATCTCGGGCTTTGAGAGCTCGTCGCAGTTTGTCCAGGAGCAAGCACCTGGCGTGTTTCCCAAGACGCTCAAGGTACATATCTTATCGCCGTCGCATCTGGAGCGCTTGTGGTTAGAACATGTGGTGGGGCGTCGCGATCTTCAACCCGCTCATCTCGCTTCTCTCGCTCGGCGTCATGCCGATGGCCAACATCAACATGGTCAAGAACACAGTGCTCTCGCAGATGGCGCTGGTTGTCGGCGGCCCAACGCTCCAGACCATCGTGTCGCTCGACGCGTTCATCGTGCTCTCGGGCGCTGTCCTCACCGCCTACGTCGGCATCAACGGTGGGTCTCTCGGCTCAGTATCAACTTGATACAAATTTTGTCGGTAGGGCTTGTCCGGCGGCTGGCCAGCGACCACATTCTGCCGGCGTTCCTCATGCAAGAGAACAGCTGCCGCCGCACGAACCACTGGATCCTCTTTGGGTACTTTGGCGTTGCGACGTCGCTCGTCCTTGTGCTGGAAGGCAACGTCGAGACGCTCTCGGGCGTCTACACCTACGCGTTCCTTGGGCTCATGACGCTCTTTGGCTCGGGCTGCATGCTGCTCAAGTTCAAGCGCGCGGACCTCAAGCGCGACGTGATCGCGCCGTGGTGGGCGTGCATCCTCGGCGTCTCGCTTGTGATCGTCGCCTTCTTTGGCAACCTCTGCGGCGACCCGACGATCCTGACGTACTTTGCGCTCTACTTTTCGTGCGTTCTCCTCGTGGTCTTCCTCATGTTCGAGCGTCTCTTCTTCCTCCGCCTCGCCATGTACGTGCTGCAGCGCATCTGCCCGTCGACGCGCAAGGAAGAGACCAAGCCGTTGGCCACTGGCGCGCGCGGCGGGCGCACGATCGTCAAGGCCATGCGGCGCATCACCGAGGCGTGCCCGACCGTCTTCTTCTGCAAGCAGGCGGACCTTGCGAGCATCAACAAGGCGATTTTGTACGTGCGCCAGAACGAGCAGACGAGCCGCCTCGTGATCGTCCACGTCTACGACGCCGAGACGGGCGTCCCCGACCTTTTCGGGGAGAGCATCGTCATGTTCGACAAGATCTACCCCAAGCTCAAGATCGACTTGGTCGCGGTCGAGAGCGTCTTTGGCCCCGCGCTCATCGAGTGGGTCGCGACCGAGTACAGCATCCCAAAGAACATGATGTTCATCAAGCAGCCAAGCGCCGAAGCGACCTTCAACATTGCGTCCCTCGGCGGCGTCCGCATCATCACGGGGTAACGTGAGAGAACGTGTCTTTCTTACTCGCTATCGACTAAGATCTCGTCCGACCAGACATTGTGGGTGAGGATCGTTTGGGCGACCGCTACGTGCTGCTCCTCGAGGCCGAGCTGGTAGTCGGGACAGATGCAGTGAGCATGGACGCTCGCATACGCGCCTAGGTCACGGATAATGGGTGTTGGCGCCGGCGCAACGCACCGTAGCCCCAGAGACCTGAAGTTGTGGCATGCGACGCCAGCGGGAGGTCGTCGAGAATGACAAAGCGCCGTACCGAATGGTTGCGCAGCCAGTGGCAGATCTCGGCCTGGCGGCTGCTGGCTGCATCCGCGCGCGGCAAGACGTCGGTGGCACCTTCGACACCACGAAGTATGCCATGGCGTTTAAGTGCTGCGTCGACGCGAGCACGCAGCACATCATGCTTGCGCCAGGTGCTTGTGAGCACGACGCTGGCCGGCGGGCTCTGGCTGGCGACGATCGCGGCGAGGTGCTGCATCGCTTCGGCGGCGAAGAGCGCAGCCTCGTCAGTGTAGTCGCCGCCTACGGTGGTCGCTGGATGGCACACGCCATCGACGTCCAAGAAGACAACAGCGTCGAACGCAGGCTCTTCCGCCAGGGGCTCTGCCATGCTCCTCGCTTGCTCACGAAAGATACCCTCGCTGGGCCGGTTTTGGGGGTACCCTTATTTTAAATCTCATATTTTATTATGATACAAAGAACATATAATACAATGGTATATAGGGTGGTGTCGGCAGGGGTCGTCCCGTCCTCGTACTGGTCCACCACAAACAAAGAGACGACGATGATGCACCACCCCGTCGTCGGCGCTGGCAGCGAGATCGAGTGGAGCTCGCCCGACGGCCCGCAGCGCGGGTACCTCGTCTTCCCAGAGGCGCACGTCGGGCGCATCATGACGGGCGTCGTCATTGCCGCGGACGCGCCGGGCTTTGCCAGCCACCACGTCCGCACCTTTGCCGACAAGCTCGCGGAGCAGGGCTACAAGGTGCTCGTGCCCGAGGCGCCCTTCGCGCCGCTCTCGGCCGTCGACGAAGTCAGCCGCACGCCGCAGTTTGTCCAGTGGCAGCGCGACGCGGCGGCCAAACAAGACGACGTCCTCGCCCGGCTCCGCGCGGCCCGTGACGTGCTCAAGAACTTCCACGAGGTCACGCGCGTTGGCGTGCTAGGCCTCGGCGTCGGCTCGGAAGCTGTTCTTGCGCTGGCCTCGGAGAGCCCTCCGTCGTTTGATGCGGCTGTCGTCCTCTGCCCGACCGCGCTGGCGCTGGTGCCATTGACGACGCCAACGCTCTTGGTGGCGGGCGACCGCTACGAGTACATCGACATGAAGCAGGTTTGCGCAACGATGCGTCAATGTGCTGTGACAATGACGATAGATCCGCGAGTATGCGGCCGTCGCCAACGTGGACAACCATCTTCGCGTCAAGGTCGCGTAAAGACCGCGCAGGAGTCGGTGCTAAAGACGCGTGAACTAGGTCCTGACGGGCGGCCAGCGACACGGATTTTGCTTTAGCCACATCATGGACGAGGACGCTGGGACGCTCGCGATCGCCGAGGTGCTCGACTGGCTCATGTTTTACCTGCACCGGTTCCGCCTCGCGGCCGGGACCAGCGACGGTACATGCCCTTCATCAAAGGTGCTGGTGCTGAGTTATTGCACGCTAGGCGATCCGTGGTGGCCTCAAGGGCGCAACGGGCCGTTCTACAATGTCGGCCTCGCCAACTGGCAAGCGAATCGCGCGCAGTGGACGACGCCGGTCCGGCCGCGGTAGGTTCGATCGTGGCTTGCGATAACACTCATGCGCTCTGTGCAGGCCACCGCGCCGACCGCCCGTCGATAGCAACTTGATTCTCGAAGGCCTGGCGTCCATGCGCCGGACGTACGAGCTGCCGCAACCCATGAACCTGAGCGACGTCATTGCGCTGTACGTGGACATTTGGGACGTCAACCAGTAGTATAGACAGACGCCCGAGCAATAGACAAGGTGTACATCTCGCAACGCGTTCTTATTGGTTCAAACTGAAGCCGCCGCCAATGTAGCGCTTGGACGACGTGATCGCGAGCTGCTTTTGCTGGTCGCTCAGCTGCCGGACTTTCTCGGGCATCGCTGCGGAGATTGGATATGAGTCGACTTGATACACTGATATATATGTACCTGGCTGCGTCGGCGCGTGCTTGTGCAGCGTTGGAAGCCCCGGCACGTCCGTGAGCTTGTCCTCGAGCTTTTTCTTGTAGTACTTGCGCTTGACGTCGTGGAGCTCGCGCGCGAGGCGCTCAATCTCAAATTTGAGTTCGTTTTCTTTCGACTGAAACATATTTTGCTCCGAGAGAAGGGCTTTGAGCTGCTTGTCCTTGTCCCGAAGCGTCTGCTGGTACACGCTTAGCTGCTCGGCGACTTCGGGGCCGGGCTGCCGCGCCAGAATGTTCTTGAGTTCAACGTACAACTTGTCCTTTTCCAAGAGGACGAGGTCCTTTTCCACGACTTCTTCGGTCTTTTGAATGAGCCGCTTCTGGAGCGTCTGGATCTTCTGGATCATCTCGTAGCTAGATCAACATAGTTGCGTGTGGAGAGACGCTCGATAACGTACGTGGCAGGGTCGCTGCCCTCGAGCTTGCGCCACCGGTGGACATTCATGGGGTTTTCGAGCTCTTCACTGAGCGCCTTGACCTTGGTCTTCTCCTGCAGAAGCTCGCGCTGGAGGTGGTAGACCTAGAGCATGGAGTTCGTATCCAGTTTCTAATAGCATGACTGAAGGAACCTCGCGCTTTAGATCGTCGAGTTGGCCGACTTGGTGCTTTGCGATGTGGAGCTCGCGCTTCATGTCGGTGATTTTGAGTTTGAGCACGCGAATGTCGGCCATGCGTTCTTGGTACTGCGTCTCGCCTACCGATATGAAATGACCTTCAACTCAAAACAAAAGTACCTTTGCTGAGCGTCGACTGCTGGATCTTGAGCTTCTCGTAGAGGAGTGCGAGCTCGTCGTTGCGCCGAATGAGCTGCGTCCCGAGGATATCGCGCTCGTTGATGACTTGGTCGTACTCCTTCTTTTGCTCCAGCGCTTCGTCGTCCATGCGGCGGATCATGGTCGTCAGCTTTCGCAGCTCTGCGTCTTGGTTGTTGATGGTCTCCTCGTTGGTCGTGAGCAGCGTCCTAAACGCATCTCGATACCTTGATACCTTGATATTGTGTCAACGTACCGCAGCCGCGCGAGCTCGCTCTTGTGCTGCTCCTTTTGTTTTTCGACTTTTTGGTGGTCGAAATGCTCCTTGACGAGCGCATGGTCCTTTGCGCTCACTTCTTCCTTGAGCTGCTCGATCTGGTGGTTGATGATCTTGAACTTGCGCTTCATCTCTGCAATCTCGTCTTGGGACTCGATGAGGTTCTTGCTGTAGAGGTTTCGGTCGCTCCGCACGGCTTCGTAGAGCTGCTGCTGCTGCTTGAGCTTGGACTCGCCTTCGGTGACCTTTTTCTGCATCTCGTAAATGCGCATGTCCTTGAGCTTGATGTCCTCTTGCGCCTGGAGGTACAGATTGCGCTGCTCGCTGGCCTCGATGCCGTACTTCTCCCGCTCCTTCTCGAGCTGGTAGATGAGCTTGCGCTGCTTGGCGGCCTCGTTCTTGTACCCGTTGAGCTCGGCTTCGAGGTTCTTGGCGACGCGCTCGTTGGTTTTGACTTCGTCGGTGGCCTTTTTGATTTTTTCTTCAGCCTTTTGGACGTTCTTGATCTGGATGCCCCGCTCGCGCTCAAGCGCATCGAGCTCGGCCTTTTGCGCATCTAGAAACAATATATAAATGCAAAATCAAAGTCGCCGGACGGTATCGAACCCTCGATCTTCTTGTCCGTGTCGAGGTCCTTCTGCATCGACTTGATTTGCGTCTGGAGCACAATCTTGGCCGTGCGCTCTTCTTCGAGCTTCTCTTCGACTTTTTGCGTGTTGCGTTTCTCCTTGTCGATCTTGCGCTCGGCCGCGCCCTTCTCGAGCTTGAGCTTGGTGATTTCGTCGTCTTTGGCCTTGACTTCAATCTCGAGTTCCCGTCGGTGGAGTTCGAGTTGCGTCGCCTTGTCGCTCTACCAAATACACATGTTGCAGCTATATGTCCGAGCAGGAACGTTGTATACCTGCTCGTTCAAGAGCTCGGTGAGCTTTTGGCTGCGGTTGTACAGCGCTTCGTAGTCGCGGACGTACTTGTCCATCGCCGCTGCCATTAACGCGTGATAAGAGGACACGAATCATGAAGGAAGAGCGCACCTTGGCTGTCGCTGAGCTGCTTCTCGAGGCCTTGGATCTGGGACTGGGCGCGCGTCATGTCGGTCGAGAGGGACGTGCTTTCGACTGTCTTCTTTTCAAGCTTGAGCTTGACGTCCTTGATTTCCTTGTCGAGCCGCTCCTTCCGGCGGTTCTCGCGCTCTTGTTCGTTCTATGTGCGTGTTTAGGGCTAGGTTACATATGAAAATGATCAGCGTGTCTACCGTTTTGAGCACAATTTTCTCTTTGAGCGTCTGGATCTCGGCAATGTGCTGCTTCTTGGTCTCGTCGAGCTCCATGATGCGAGCGTGGAGCTCCTGCATGCGCTGGTGGTCTTTGCGCGCGTTGTTTTCGTGGTCTTCGTTGCTGCGCGAGAGCTCGTCCTTGGCCTTGACGAGCTCCTTCATCATGTTTTCTTGGCCGATGCTCAGCCCGGCCCTGCATTGTCTATGAGATCCCTCGAGTTCGGAGTCGTCGTACCCTTGTTCGACGAGGCGGCTCAAGTTTGTGATTTCGTCCTTGAGCTGCGTAATTGTCTCCTTGGCGCGGATCTCCTTTTCGTGGGACGCGTCCACCATCTTCCATGCCTTCTCCATTTCCTTCTTAAGTGACGCGATCGTCGCCTGGTCTTCCTGCGAGAGCTTCAAAGCCGTTTGGACTTTGGCGGCGTTGTTGACGATTTCGCCGTTGAGTTCGCGGCACTTTTTGATGAGCTTCTTCTCTTGAAGCGAACTCTTTTTGAGCGCGCGATGGAGCTTCTCGTACTCGAGCCGGAACCGCTCGAGGCTCTTGTCGCCGACGAGCTCCGTGAGCACCTCTTGGAAGTCCTTCTCGAGCGACTCGAGCGACGTCGGCTCCATGCTCGGCTCATCGAGGCCCTTGGGTACATTCGAGTCGTCGTCGTCCATGTTGAGGAGATTGGGTTTGGTTTCACGCGCTGCATTTAGCATCCGGATCTATCCGGAGGGATGATTTTGGAGAATCATCCAGTTGCCAACGGTCATGCCGGCGTTCCATGACCGAACGTGGTCGACTCGGTTTCTCCGCCACTGCGTTTTTCATCCAAGACGCATGTATATTTACGGTCGCAGATGATACCTGAGCCACAAATTGTCGACGCGCACCCAGTAGCTGAATAGAAAGCGTGCAGTCTCCTGGTCGTTACGATCTTCCGTTCCAGAGACCGCGCTACCATCCTATGCGCTGGTTGAGTCATTTAGCATTTTATTCGCCAGGGCTCAATGGCCACCACGGCAATGACCCCGACGATGACGACCCAGCTCGCAGCAGCATCCCAGTGCATCGGTTGCCGAGATCCTGCAGCCCTTCGCCCCGCAACTCGCTCAGAGTATCGCGGCCCGTATTCTAGGATCTGCGCAGCCACCGCCGGGTCTCATTGCGGCCCAGTCGAGCGTGGCAGGCCATTTCCAGCTCTTTTACGACTACTTGCCGTCGACGGCAGCTCCGTCGTGGGCGACCTGCGAGGCGTTCATGGCGGCTGTTGACGACTGGGACACGCTATTTGCTTCACCAGTGGCCTCGCGACTCGAGCTCCTCGCGGTCCATCAAGCGCTCAAGAGTCGACTGACCCAGGTGGAAGGTCGGTTGCAAGAGCTGCAGGACACAGTCCAGGACCCGATCGTGACGAGCACCAAGCTGGACGACCGCGTGTGGCTCCAGGACGTCGACGTCTGGCAGATGTACGTCGAGAGCGACGCGCTGCTCAACGACTCGCGGGCTGTGGGCAGCCAAACACAGTTACGACAGCAACTCGAGGCTGCGACCAGTGCGTGGGACGACCCGAAGCGGCCAAACCCCGCTCGACGAGCCCTTGCTCGCATGCCGGGCGATTCGCAGCGGCGCCGTTGGATCGGTCTCGTGCTACTGCTCGCAGTAGTAATCGCCGTAGCCATTGCGCTGGGTGTGACACTTCGAACGCCGTCGAGTACGACAACGTTAACTGCCGCCGATGGAACGAACGTACCAACACCGACGGCGACATCGACTCCGACAACCTTAGCACCTCTGTCAGCGTCAGCTCCAACGCCCGCTCCGACGCCTGCTCCGACGCCTGCTCCGACACCCGCTCCGACGCCTGCTCCGACGCCTGCTCCGACGCCTGCTCCGACACCCGCTCCGACATTGCCACCTGTTGGCAACCGACCGTTCACCGTCTCAACCTTGGCGGGGACTGCTCAGTCCAGCAGTGTCGATGGCACGTTGACGTCCGCCTCGTTTCAGTATCCTCGTTCGATCGTTGGCGCTGCCGGAGTCCTCTACGTCGGTGAAGAGCACAAGCTTCGGCGCATTGATCGTACCAGCGGCACGGTGTCGACGATTGCTGGGATGCTTGGCCCTGGCCCACGCATTGACGGCAACCTTCAAGATGCTCGAATTAACAACTTCTACGGATTGGCTCTGGACGGTCCCGGCACGTCTCTGTACGTGGCTGACGCAAGCAACAATGCCGTCCGCGCCATCGACTTGGTGCGCGGCGTCGTGTCGACTCTGGGCACCGGCGTGTCAGGCGCAACCAACGGTCCTATCGCAAGCGCCAAATTTTCCGCACCATGCGGGGTACTATGCTATGGTGACAGCATCTACGTGGCCGACACGGCCAACAAGCTCGTCCGCCAGATTGTCAACGGCACCGTGTCCACTTTTGTCGGCAAACTCGGCTCGTCAGCGCGTATTGACGGCCCAATTGGGGTCGCAACGCTGATCAATCCGTACGCCGTCGTTATGACGCCGCAAGGCGTCATGTACATTGCGGAAACCTACCAAAGCGTCATCCGCAAAGTCGATCTGGACGGCACCGTGTCGACCATTGGTGGGCAGTCACCCGGCTTTGCGGACGGCCCCAGTGCCACCGCGCGCTTCAGTGGTCCGTACGGATTAGCAGCCGACGAGGACGGCAACATTTTTGTCGCCGACACGTACAACAACCGCATTCGCGTCATCGATGCGGCGACGGGCGTCGTCTCGACCATCGCAGGAGCCGCAACATCAGGCTACATGGACGGTGTGGGCACAAACGCCAGGTTCAGGACACCGACAAGCGTCTATTACGACGGCAATGGCTCTTTGTACGTGGCTGACTACGGCAACGGCCGCATCCGCCACCTGCACTTTGACCGCTAAGAGCTAGTACATGCATTTTTCCGACAGGTTATGTCGATAGTCAAGCAGTCCATTGGTGCCAAGTTCTTAGCCTTTATTTCGACCAAATACCCCTAATGATGATACATTATTCTCACTAGCATTTGATGCCTTCCTTCCCGAGCGCCCATACGTCGGCGCGGGGTCGCGTACCGTGCAACATGTAGGGCTAGGGCATTGCCCTTGTGAACTATCTATGACGCGCGTGCGTAGATTCACTGTGTTCAATGCAGTCAAAGGAAAAGTCGCTGCTCGTTGATATGGTGGGTGCAATTGTTGAGCGTTTAAATGGAGAAAATCCTCAATTCAAAAGTTCAACAAGCACGCCACAAGACCAATTCTACGAACGACGTTGCAGGTCCTTGGCAACTCCAAGGCCTTACCGCTCAAGTCGAGGATCGAAAGCTGTTAAGCAGTTGAGGCAAGTGCCAGCCACAAACCACAAGCACAGTGTCGACCACTGATTGAATGAGCTCTACGGTGCGTTGGTAGCCCGTCCTTGGAGGGGTAAATAATGCTTTTGGTCATCGAAACCAAGACATGTAATTAGAATGCAGTCGGTTAGCCAATGCAGACACTTTGGTACGTCGGGATGAGATACTTGATGTTGATGAACGCGTCGTCGCCGCCATTGAGCTCAAAGATCTCGAGCGTCTGCTGGATGAGATCGCCGAGGTTCTCCTGCTTTCGCTGCGAATAGTCGATGCCGTCCCCGAGGTTGTCTACAAAAACATAATGAGAATCGAGTGGTTTTTTCTGGCAAATATCACCATTTTTGCGCACGAAAATGTTGAGAATCGGCAGAATCTGACGGTAGTAGGGCACGAGCGCTTGGCCAATGAGTCCGCCGGCCGCAAACCCGTCTTGGCCGGGCTTCTTGTCGCACGTGACCATGAGCTGCAGGATGTGAAGCGTCTTGACAATGATCGATGCCTTGCGCGTGTTGAGTGCGTCTATCGTAGATCTTGGTCGCCAGATAGTCATTTTTGCAGTCGGACTTTTGATGGGAATGATGAGCTGCGGGATCACGGGCAGCACCTTGGAACTGGCGTTCACCATCATGTCCTTGATACCCTATATAAACCAGTGCTTACGTTGATGTATCGCAACAGGTCCAGCGTACCTGCTCGGCCAAAAATGCATACGGCTCTTCGATCTCGCGCAACCCATCGAAAAAGATGGGCAAGTAGTGGTGAAAGTCGAGCTACCGTCCAAATGAACATTGTAACTTGGACAAAGCATGTCCACCTTGGTGATATCGACCTTCCACGCGACGAGGTTTTTGACGCCGCCGTGGTCGATCTGAATTGGCAAATCGCCGCGTTCGTAAAACCTACCCTTGGACATTGAGCACTCCAATTTGCCATCGACCACAGGCGTACTTTCGAAAGGACGTGTCGGGCGGGTTTGGCCGCTCGCGGAAGGCGCCAGGTTGGTGCCGCTCCTTGCGCGGCGACGGCGTCATGGCGCCATCGCGCTACTAAGAGCATCAAACAATGCGCTGCCGATAAGAAAGACGTACCTTGTGGAGGCGATCCGTGTCGGCGTGGCCGCCATACCCCGCGCCCTTTTTCAAAAACTGATCGGTCGTCTCACGCTTGATGGGCTTGGAGAGCGAGAAGGCGCGGATCATGTCGGGATCCGTCGGGGTATCCTCATACTTTTTCTTCTACGAGAGAGGGATTTCATATCGTGATTGGGACGGGGGGCGTACGCGGGGGGCGACTTCGGTCGTGTCAAAGCACGACCCCGACTCCTTGAGTCCCTTGGTTCGGGGCACAATGCGCGTCGGTACATTCGGGATGCCGGACATCTTGGCGAATGGGCAACCTGCGGGCGTTGCGGCGAAACGTAAGTCGACTATTTATATACGAGCAAAAGCGCGGTAACCAACGTTGAAGATGGCAACTCGCTCTCTCTATCAGTGGTCCACTACGTTCTTAGTGGGATCTCAGCTCGGGTCTTGTAGAGTCGTTGTTGCATATACTTAATCGCTAACTCGTTGTATCGGGGGGCGCTTTGGCCGAGAGAATCCCGAGGTACACGGGGCGGACTTCCTTGAGGTGTTTCTTTTCGTTGGTGCGCCCGAGCGACGCCAGCCGGGTTTGCCGGCGGGCATTGGGCAGCAAGTGCCGAGACGACGCGCGTACATCCGGCAGAATTCCCGTCAGCGCATCGAGTTGGCGCCGGCTCGCACTGTACCGGAGCGACAGCGCCCGCGTGCTGCGCTCGAGCTTGGCGTGCAGCGGCGACGACCGCTTGATTCTGAGTGTGGATATGCCAAAGCTCGCCGCAGGGGGCTTTGGTTTTTGTCGCTCGAGCTCCCGCTCCGCCTCCTCTTCAGTGAGCGGTGCAAACTTGACTTCTAGCGCCCGAGGACACTGCGAGAGGTGCTGAGCTTGCGCCACCAAGTCGATATCGGGCTTGGCGATCTCCGACCCTGGTCCTGCGTACTTGGGGTCGCACCAAACGACAACTTCGGTTGTCGCAAAAGACGGCCGCGGCGACGTCGGCAAGAGGCGATCGAGGATCGGCCCCACGTCCAAAAAGGGCTCTAGCCAAATAGAAATTGTAGCAAAATAACGAGAGCGCGCCTACGGGGAGTGATGGCCGATGTCTCGGGCGCGGTTTCGCGCATCTCGGGCACGGGGACGTTCGAGGGAATCGGGTGCGGATCGTAATGCATCGGTCCCGGCTCGGGGCTCGGAGGCCGCGGATCGGTTTGCAAGCGACTGCACATGGCGTCCAGAGTGACTTTGCCGACCTTTTCTGGATCTACGAACCGATTATCAATGTTTCAAGTCGTTTGTCGCGTGGCTACCGAGATACACCCACAACTCGACGAGCTCTGACTCATGCACATTTGGAAAGATCCAGAGGAGGCCTTCGCAAAGCCCGTTGAAGCACAGCGCTGAGCGCAAATGGGCGACGTCAAGACCCGCGCGGGCGCGCCGCCGAATGGGCGGGAAGAGGCCCGTGCCCGCGATCGGCGTCATCGGCGCCGTCACCACCGAATCCGTGTATTTAGCGTTGAGGTGCGCCGTGTTGTCAAACACGAAGATGAGTCGGCTGTAGATGTCGGCTTGCGTCGCATGGCTTCGGTAGAGCCCCTTGAGCATCTCCAAGAGGCGCCGGGGTCTACATTCTTATCCATTAAACAAGAATCCCAAGCCGTATTTGTACTTGTGAAAGGCGTCCACGTCGGGGTGGGGCCAGACAATGTTGGGGGGAATATACATGTCGTCGCCGCCGTCTCTAGACGCCTGGAGACTCTCGACTTTGCGAATGATATCTGGTAGGTTCTCCAGCCTGATCCGTGTCATGTCGTTAGTGTACTGGTGGAATGAGGCATGTACCGTCTGGAGCAGACAGGGGGGCGGGGACTGTGCGCCGCTTTGATCTTGAGGCTCGAGACGGCATTGTTGGCGCTGTACACGTTGAGCTTTGGCCGGCGTTTCCACTCAAAGTAGCGCTGCCACGCGACGCGTGCGCCGCCGTCGTGGTGCATACTCTGCCGGATGATCTGCACGCGCGTTTTCCAGTTGCGCCAAAAGACAAACCTTCCACATTGTTATATACTCACGGACTAGGAAGCGAAGAATACATACCACGTCTGATCGTGGACAGGGCTAAAGTCGATGCCGTTCAAGGTGAGTTGCACGGCCACAGGTCTAGATGGCGCTTTAGCAACCCCGTGCAGAAGGGGTGTCACAGGTACCCTTCGTCTCGGAGAGATGGTGTCACCACGAGCAACTCCGACTCGTTGACGTACGTGGCCTGCACCATGGTCGTGAACGTGTCTTCAAAGCTCACTGTCCAATTGCTCGATGCTTCGTCAAATTGCAGCCGCGTAAACCGAGCCCGAAGGCTCGGAGTGTCGACGAGGAAACGGCCGCGGAGCTTCATGTGCACTCCGCCCCACATCGGTCCGTCGGTCGGCGAGACGTCGTCCAGCAGCGGCTGATCTCGGAAGAGGTTGAGGAGTAGAGGCTGGTTCGTATACTAGAAGTCGTCATGTCAACGATCGTTCGGCGTTCGATGGACGTACGTCGAGGACGCCGTTTCGGCCGAGACTGACGTCGACGAGAGCTGTGGCGCCAACGAGCGAGACGTCTTCGTTTGGCACAAGGTGGTGCAGCGGCGGCACGAGGCACTTGATGACACCGTCGGCGCTGCATTCGGCCGAGACGGTGACGCACAGCGACGGGTTCTCAAGCGTGAACGACACCTAGTCTCTACGGTGAGCGAAGGTACCAGCACAAGCTTACGCGAATGTGGTGGGTCTCTGAAAAGTTGTTGCCGTGGATGTAGAGCGGGTGGTCGCCCATCGAGTAGGCCCACGACGGTACGAGCGTTCCCATCTTGGGTGCGTTGCACACGCAGAGCCGAACGTCCGCCATCGGGATAAAGTCCAGCCCGTTCATGGCTATGCACACGCGCACGATGGACCCTAACCGCACAGTTGACCTCTGCCTCTTCAAGAGTGTCGACCCACCGGGGGGGAAATCGGGGGTGAGGCATTCGAGAAGCGTGGTCGAGAGCACGCGGAGGTTGACGATTGCATCCGGGTGCTTGACCTCGCCGTCCTGCGCGGGCTCATGGATGAATTTGGCTATAGACACACAAGTCGACGCGTCTGCGCTAGTGATGACGCCATGTACCTCGGCCATTGTCGGTCGGTACGAAATGCTCGCCGTGGACAAGCAGCTTGGTCGTGTACACCGGTGACGCCGACTCGATCCGGTGCACGGTCGGCGTTTCGTAGATGAGCCACTGGTGGTGGGGTAGACTCGCTTCGATGACACTAGTCGTATCGAGGAGCTCGGACCAGAGTGCCATGACGCTTTGGTGCGAGAGGTCGTTCTCTGGCTCGACCGAATGCAGCGGCGGCGCCAGGAAAACGCTGTTGAAGTCGACGCCGTTGAGCGCGACGATGACGGTGAACGACGCCTTCCCGCCCTTCTTGGTGGGCGGCGTCACACAAGAAAGAACGTTGGCCGACTCGAACGTCGCACTAACAACCGTCACTGGGACCTAGCACCACATTGAAGCATAGAAGGCAAGGAGAGAGCTACTGAGACGGCGACATCGGCTTCGTGGCGAAACGACTGGTGCAACTCGGCGTAGTGCTCGATGCCCTACTCCTGTGGTAAACCTAGACCACAAGGATGGAGGTACCCAGAGAAAAGCGAGTTGAATGCACTTGGTGTCGACAAAGTTGAAGCCGTGAAGTGTGAGCCTCGAGCCGCCGCAGGAAGGCAAGCACTTGGGCAAAATGTCTTCAATGATGGGCAGCGGCTGAATCGTATACCTAATTTCACTTCTTGCATCGGCGCTGAGATATACAAACGTACGGAGTCGCACAAGTAGACAAAAAGTCCTGCCCATTGAGGGCCAGCTCGACAATCATCTCGGTGGGCGTCACGTGGGCCGACGGCGCGCGCCCGAGAAGCCGCTGCAGCGCCGCTTTCTTTCCTTCGTCCGCTTCGCTAATGGATTTAGGGACTAGGTTAATTTCGCTCGTATCGCTCTGGCCGTACGGTTTGAGTGTCTTGGCATCCGCGGCTACCTTTCCCGCAGAGATTTTGCGCGACCTACATCGAACCTTGAGGAATTGGAGAAGAGACTTGAAGCGCACCGAAACGCAGTTTCAAGGTGCATCGTCTTCTTGAGCGCCGACGTGAGACGCGACGTCGCCTTGGACCGCAGCGACGGGCGTTTGAGCAACATTGGCTGAAAGTGAATAAAGAGCTCGACCTCGCCGCGGGAGGGCAGCTCCTTTGCCGGCTCTCGCAAATATTCCCGAATCGAGTTTTGAGCTAAAATGGGCGTCATCGGGCGGGGTGGCGGCGCCGCCACCTGCAACGGAAACCACGCTCGGAGCTTAATGGCTTTGTTGAGACTCGCAAACGGAAGGCGCAGCGTGCCCAGCGTTTCGAGCCGCCCCGACTCGACTTCGTTCTGGACGGTTAGCACCTAGGTTATGTGAGGCCAATAACGATTCGAACCAGACCGTACGAGGTCGCCGTGGCTGTGGCCGTCCGTCGTCTGAAGCTCAAAGTCAAATTGCTCGTAGAACGTTGGGTTGGACGTGAATTCGCGCAGTGTCGACCGCAGTTTCTGATCCTCAAACTCAAAAATAACAAAAGGCCGAAGGAGCGGACTCGTCGTCGTCGTTGCCGTCGTGTTGGGCAGACGCAGATTGCGTGCGCGCAGCAGCGTAACAAAGAGGCCGCTGTTGCGCACCCAGACCTTGTGCTCGTGGCGCGGGTCGAACGACGCATCTTGCAGTAATTGCGGCACCGCGATCGGCACCTAACCGAAAGCCGTCAAGCCGTGTTGAGGCACTGAGTCAACCGTGAAACGCGGAAGGCGGCACTGAATGACGCCGGTAGCATTGTGTGACGTGACCGCTGTCTGCGCTTGACCTACTCGCCAGTGTACCTAAACTCGTCTTGTTTGTAAAATTGATCGTACCTTTGATGCGGAAGCGGCACGTGGTCAAGCTGCTGTTTAAAAACGGGCTATTTTCCCAATTTTCGACGATTTGAATGTACACCTAACCGCAATGAAAACGAGCAAAAAATGAATCAAGGGGTACATCGGTGCAGCCCGGCACGAGGTTGAGCTTGGGCGTCATGCTCTTGACCAACGGCGCGCGATAATAGGTGAACGTCACCGCATCACTCGAGAAGGTGGCGTCGACACCACCGACGGCGACCTCGATCTAAACACTGTCTGTGAGAGACAATATAGCAATATGTGTCCACCTCGAGTCGGAGCTGCTCCAAACTGATTTTGCAAGGCGGCGTGTAGCAGTAGATCTTGCCGCTTGTGAGCTGAGCTGAATAGATAGCGCGCTCCAATAGCTTCTCGCCTCGAAACCACGAGAAGCGCACGACCGGCTCCTTCTCCGCGAGCCGGCAGAGATTCAAGTTGGCGCCTGCAAGAGCCAAGTACGTGCGTCCTACGACACGATGCGTTGGGCGAATTAAAACCGAGACGTCCGACCTTGTGTCGGGCCCACGGACGGCTGCACCGCGTTCACATCAAACATATACAAGATCGCTTGCGGCACGGCCTCGGTGAACGTATGGTGGTCGAACGAGACGCAGAAGAGAATGTTGCGGCTCTTGAGGCGCGGTGGGACCGTGCAGAGTATTTCCGACGACGATTTCAATGTACAGGGCAGGATCTGGGACTCGAGGGACGGCCGCTATGGTTTGAATGAGTCACGCACGACTCCACGTTTGTGCTTACGTCGATGGTTTCGAGCTTGGCTTGCAGCGCAGCACCTAGTGCGATTAGAAAAAGATCTTGGAGAACGTATACCTTGGTCGTGCTGGTAGTCGTAGCTTGGCGGCAAGAAGTATACCCGAAGCAGCAGCATGCCCGAGTTGAAGAAGCCGCGACCCTGCACGACAATATCGCCGCCAGTCGAGTACGGAAGGTACCGCGGACAGAGACTGTCGATGCGCGGTAGCTCGTAGACTTGGAACGACGGCGCACCCATCGACGTATAGGGACACTGCCCCGACGACACTTGTACATCCAGCACCGACATGGTCTCGATGTTGGGGGCCTGGGTGACAATCATACCGCTCTCGAGGACGGGCGGCTCGAGCACCAAGCTCAGATCCACGCTGCGCTTGACGGCCGAGGACCCGTCGACACTGTGAAGAATCACAGACGCCGACTGGCTCACGCCGGGCTTGAGTACCATCGGGGGTACCACTAGCGTCGCCACATCGCGCGCTAAACAAGCGGTCATCATTGCTCGACACAATGCGTAGTGTTGACGTACGTAGGCGGGAGGAGCCACGCGCGTCCTCGGCCGTCATGCGCAGTACGAGTTCCAGCCGGGGTGTTTGTGCATTTGAGACGAGCTCAAATTGCATCTTGTCGCACCACAGAAGCGTGCCGACCTCCTTCCGCACCTGGTAGAGCATGCGTTTGGCCGGCGTTTGGCGCGGGAGCCCGTCGTTGCATTTGACGGCGAGGTAGTACCAGCCGTTTGTGTCAGCACCCGCAAGTCGACCGGCGACCGTGAGTCCCACGATGGTGACGCTGCAAAAGTACCGCTTCCACACCTCACCGGGCACGTGGACTGCGTGGGTTGGTGTGCTGAACCGCACCGTGATCGCGCCCGTCTCAAGAAAGCCAGAGCCGCGTAGTTTGACGGGCGTGCAGGACCCGAGGAGCCCACACGGCGGCTCCAGCGCGGTGATGGACCACGTGCTCGGGTCGTAGACGAGCATAGGTGTCGGAGGTGAGAAGCAGATACCGTGGGCACCCAACCAGAGGAGAACCTTGCCTTTGGAAGGCAGTGGCGGCTGAGCACACGTCACTCTGTATTTGGCCATGTCTGGCGAGGAAGGGCTGTTTTGCAGTAGCTCCACAGCCAGCACCGGCGTGGTAACAGCAGCATTGGTTCCCGTCAGCTTGAAGCAGACGCTGAGCTGCAGCGGCAGCATGGACTCGTGCTCCGAGCTGCTATACAGCGCCCAGGTCGACGGCAGGTTGAGCACCGCGTCCGCTTCATGGTACAGATCGTGCAGGGGGTGCAGCGGCTGGGTCGCAAGCTCCGGCAGGGTGGCAACAAGCGACACGACGCGTCGGTTCACGTAGATGATCAAGAGTGGCTCCGACGGTCGACAGATGAGGGCGCCAACAACCCAGAGCGCGTCCGGCGCGTCGGTCGGAGCTTGTGGTTGATGGCAGTGAAGAAGTGTTTGGTTCGGAGCCAGTACAAGCACTTCGGGAGCATTCGCAACGAGCCAGAAGAAGCCTTCTTCAACGCGCCAATGAGTGACGTTGTCGCAGCCAGTAGTCACGAGCGGCAGCGCCACGGGGGCGGCGTCTAGGGCGTCGTGTCGCACCACGTGTACCTTGTTGGCGTCCGTGTGGTCCGTAATGGCGTCGGGCGGCGTCACGACGTAAAGCGTGTCGCACACAGACGGGAGTTTGGCCAAAATGGCTGTTGTCGGCACAGACGCGTCCGTGACAACGACGCGGTACGTGTTGTAGCTCGCCTTGAGATGCACCGTCAACACCACACCGTCGGATGGCCACGACTAGCATACTCTCTCGCGATCACAAAATTTGTGAAAAGCAGGAATGTACCGTGGCATCAATGTCGACCATACCAACGGTCATGTCCACCGATACCTAAACACCTCATTCATCGTTGAATAGCGGCTGGAAGGGCACCTCATGCAAGACCCACTGCGCGACACGGGAGCGCACTGTCACCACGGGCGCCTTGACACTATGAGCAACGTCGCGCGTGCCCGGTCGCGCCACGACCGAGATCATCACGCGGTGGGACACTTTTTCGCGCCAGCTCGAGCCTTCTCGCCGGCGCCGTTTCCCGGGTGACTGGAACGCCACTAAGCTTTGACGCACAATGCGTCGCTGGCCTGGCGGCGCGAGCGTAAGGTCGCCGATGCTGGTGGGAATCTCGGTCTCGAGGTGCACAATGTTGCCACCGTTGAAAGGACTCTGCACCGGCGCGTGGGTCAGTATCTTCATCGCTGGGTGGACACTGATGTCCCCGAGGTAGGTGAATTGCTGCGAGTTGAGGGAGAATAGCAAGCGGTATACCCCTGGCGTTGCGAATTCTGGAATCACGCAACTCACCTCGCCCTTGTCTACACGGACTGAGACGTGACTGTGGTCGAATGGACTGCATTACCCGTGTGGGCAACGCAAGGCTGCATGTATGTGTCGTGGGTTGCGCTGCTCTCGAAGCGGAGGCCAATGCACTTGCTCTCAACCAGCGTCGCGGCTTCAAATCCGCGGATGACGAGGCGCCGGGAGCGGGGCGCGGCGTCCAGTCCCACGAGCTCGTCGAGCATCGAGGCGGGGACGTGGTGCGGGCCGTACACGAGGTTCCGCAAGTCCAACGGCGTATAAAAGCGGTAGGACACGCCCCGAGGCAGGTACTGCTCGCCGCCGTTGAGACTAAAGTCGACCATCACGTCCAGGTACGGGCACCCCAGCTCGGCGTTGCTCAGGCTAGCTCGGTTCACGAGCAGTCGATTGTTGGCTTGGGTCGGTGCCACCGACCGGCGGCGGGATCCAATCTCTCGCGTTCGACGCCGCTCCGCTCGAGGGCCCGCTTGCGCCAGCATGGTAACGTAGCGCTGTGCTTTCACGGGGGCCGTCGGCGTCGGTGCCGTTTGGCTCGGGTCGTACACTTCGATGGTCGGCGAGACGCACTGGATCATGTAGTTCTTGGCTTGCGTGCCGTTGCTCAGCGTGGTTGTCACGTGACCGCGGACAATCTATAGTCGTAGTGTCCATATCCTATCAACTTGAAGAGTGGAATACGCAGAATTCGTGGCGGTTGGCGGCCGACTGAAACCGGACGTGGATCTGATGGGACTCAAAGATATGGGTTCCTAGATCACATTCTCGTATCCACAACATTGTCTTTGGCATCAGCCCGTTACCGAGAAGGAGGAGGACCGTGTCGCCCGCCATGGGCCCGCAGGACGGCACGACTTCGGTGATGGCGGGAGCGTCGAAAAAGTTGTACTTTTCTTTGGCCGAGCCCAGCGCAGCGGCATCCAGCCTAAGTGCAATCAGAACGTAGTTGACAGGAGTATGCTAGTACGCGCGTTGGTCATTGAAGAGGAGCTCAACGCTGGCAATGCACGCTTGGCGACACATGGGGGCTCGGCACGTCACGGCCGTGTTGACCGTATCAACCTGCATTATGTGACGTACTCCGCTCGCACGAGACATCAAGTACCTCAGCCGGTACCGTCATGGGATCCGGAAGCTTGGCGGACGGCGGCGCGGTGGCCGTGAGGCTCCATAGCTTGATGGGCGTAAACTGAACGTAGCACTTGGCGTCGCATTTGGCAAGCGCTTTGGCCAATCGCGGACCGCCGCAAAAGACGACGCGGGACCCGCCGCCCGCCGAGCCGTACGACGTCGTGAGAAAGTACGGCTGCGTAAAGAATCGGAACGGGTAGAGCGGTTTGACCTTTTGCACGGCCAGCGCGCTGACGACTCTACACGATGACAATTCTGTACATAGATACGAGTGGATGTCGAAATTATACCGTGGGTCCGGGTATTCAGAGGCGGTAAATTGTTGTCCGTTCAAGCTCAGCTCGAGTTTGAAAAAGCCGGGCTCAACCTCGGTCGGAGTGCTGCACACAACGCAAGTGACTCCACTCTCGTCACTGGCGATGCGTCCCTGTACAACGTAGCTCGTGGCGCCGCGCCACGGTGTAAGCTGCACTTCGATGGGCGCGCCATAGTCCTAGATTGAAACATTGATACTTTGAAGGTTGAAGAAAGATGTGTAGCGCCTACGCGGAAATGCTGGCCATACAAGCGCAGCGCCGCCTCGCTGTCAACAGGCGCCCACGTCGGGTAAAACGACGTGAGCGTCGGTGGCGCATAGAACGCAAAGGCCACGTCTCGGTTCACGGTGCAAAAGTCGACGCCATTCAGAGACATTTGCAGGTACACGTGACAGCTAAACGCAACGGGCGGCGTCTCAAACTCGAGAGCTTCGTCTTCCTTGCTCACGCGCCCGGGCACGACGAGCTCGAGCGTCTCGTTCTCATTCGCGCACGTCCCCGGCTTGAGCAGTAGCTTGAAGACGATATCGCCAGTCTCCAGCAGCGAATCGCAGGCCACAAGGACCCGCGTCTTGCCGTACGTCGGACCGGCCACGGGCGAGATGGCCTGGATGACGTCCGGCGCATCGAAGTACAAGAACGAGAGCTCAGTATCCAAGAAGAAGACTTGGTAGTTGAGCGAGAGTCGGAGTTGCACTTTAGTCGGGTACGGCCACGGCGGCGAGAACAGTTGAATCCGAGGGCGCAAGAGGGCATTGTCGTCGACAAATGTAGCAGGCACCGTGACGACGTGGCCGTTGATGTCGACGAGCTGCACCATACAGTCCAAGCTCGACTTGTCATCGGGAAGCCCTTGGAGGACGTGGAAGATGATGGGCGTGCCCCCGTTGAGCGCCCCGCACTTGGCGCTGCCCGGCTCGAGCATGAGCTTGGTGGCTGCGTGGTACTCAAAGTGGAGCTGCGAGTCTTCGGAGAATTGCTGCCCGTTGCACGAGATTTGAACGTTGGCAATGCCGGCGTGGGCGACCGGAGGCGCAATGCACTTGATCAATCCGTTGTCGACAATGGTCGCTTCGACAATGTATTCATCGTTTTTTGGGCCGCGCGGTGTCGCAAAGGGTGTGTCGTAGAAGACGAATTTGACCAACGGGCACGCCGACTCGATAAACCCTTGTCCTAGGGTGTCTCGTGCGTGAGCATTCACTATATTATATAAGGTACCAACGACGCTCACTGGCGTTCCCCCGTCAACGGGGCCAAAGCTCATGATGCAGTTGTCGGCCGCCGGGCAATGCACCACTGGGGGCTCGAACGCCTCAAAGTACACGGGGAACATACCGACGCGTACCATCTCGTAGCATTGCTGGTTGAACGCGATCGTCAAGAGGTGCTGGCCGGCCGGGAGTGGCGGCGCAACGACCGAGACAGTATTTTCAACGCGATGGCCCGTGACCTTGATGTCGCCAAACTTCATTGGCATGATGGCGACCACGTGCAAGTACTGCAGCTGAGCAGCGTCGACGTGCAACTCCACGACGGCGCCCCCCGTCGTGAACCCCCCGCGGGGGGCCACGTGCGTGATGCTGGGTGTCGTGTAAAAGGCCACGGGGTGCACCACCGGAGAGAACTGGTCAAAGCGCGTCGCCATCTCGATCGCAATGGGCAGCACCTTCATGCCCCCGATGGCCACGCGCCGTTTTGATTGGTTGTCGGGTCGTCGACGCAGCTCGCGCGGTTCATTGCGGTGCGAAAAGCGCGCGCGCGACTTGGGGGACTCGGGCAATTCGGCTATGGCGTCCTGCGACGTTGGCAGTACCTTGCACGATAACCAATTGAGCTGAACGTGGTGGTCGGGCGTGAACGCCGTGACGGGCGGGCAGAGCACCGAGACCTGCTCGGGCGAGACGAAGATCGTGTCAAGCACCCGCATGACCGTCGACCCGGGGGTCATGCCCGGAATGCTGAGCCTCAGCCGGGTCGGGTACTCGCTCGCAAAGCCCGAGCCAAAAAGATGCAACTCGGTTGGACTCTCGAAAGGCGTTGCGACAGGCCATATCCGATCGACCTTGGGGACGCTGTACGGGACGGTGAATTTGAGCAAATTGCCAACCTATTTCCGACAAGTTAGTGTCTAGGACGCAGAGCGAAGACAGATTGTACATCTAAAAAGTGCTGGTTGTTGAGCGCGACTTCAACGTCGACTAGCCGCAATTGATCGGGCGACTGGACAAGGGCCGAGAGGGCGGGACAGAGAAACTCGACATACTCGGTCGTCCTAAAGTCAAAACTTTACACATTTTGTGTGGTAAATCGCTGTACCAGCTTGTCGCTGCGATGGGACCAAGCATGCGTTTCTCGACGGCGCCGCTTGGACAGGCTACGTAGCTCACCTAGGAGCATCCACAATCTACCGGATCCTCAGAAGCAGACTAAATCACCTTGAGCCGGACTTTGACGCCGTCCGTGACAATCTTGGGGCCCAAGTGCAGCTTAAGCAGCGTTGCGAGGTCCAACGCCATCCCAATCGGCTCGACAAGCTTCAACGTGTGACGCCGGAAGAAGGAGAACGGGTGCTTTGGTCCGGTAAAATCGCAGCTGTTGAGCGAAATCTCGACGGTGCTCGTCAAGTTGGGTGCGATTGTCTTCAAAATGGGCGACGCGCACTCAATGTGGCCTTGCGCAGTGAGGCGGCCGACCGCATACTGCCGCACGGTGTGGGGATCCTCTACAAAAAGACGCAACTCGAAAAATACCAAATCTATCGACGCAAACCGAGAATGGACGTTTGCTTCATGTACGAAAACCGAACTTGAATCGTGCCCGTGTCGATGAACGACTCGCCAATGATAGTGACGGTCGACGCCACCTGCGACGGTGACGAGATGGGCGTCACACACGTGATCGACGGCATATTGTAGTAGAGAAACTGACTTCGATTCGGGATGTTGCGAAAGCAGCATTTCGAGTATTGCTGGCCGTTGAGCGAGACGTAGACGTCGACGAGGCCCGCCACGGACGGCGGCGCAATGCAAAAGAGAGTTTTCTGCCGCCCGCCCGCGTCCGAGTGGCGGGACGCGTCGGTTTCGACGAACGCCCGCACGCGCCGATGGCCATCGCCAGTGCGAAACACGACCGAGACTGTGCCGCCATGGTCGATGATGCTCTCGCCTTTGAGTCGGAGGAGCCCACCGCCCGTGACGGACGTCGACGTAGGCCAAATATAGTTGATGGTCGGCGGCGGGTAAAAGAGATATAGCAAGTACGTCTCGTCGACGTCCAACGTGGTCTGCGATCACAAACCATTTTCAAACGGCTGCAAAGGAAGAAACTACCTGAAATTGCGTCGCGACCGACGTGTCGGCGTCTCTCGGAATGTAGTCGACTCCGTCGTTGAGGGACACTTGTACCTTGGTGAGCTGGAGCTCCTTGTCGACCGGCCACGGAGGCGTGAAGCACTGCAGCACTGTCGCGTCGTCGTCCTGCGGCACGACGCTCCCGACGACCGTCGCCCGGATGTTGGCGCGGACACTCGAGAACTTGACGTGAATGGGTAGCACCACTGGCACGTGCCGGTTCATCGTGATACAGAGGCGGGTGCCGCCAGTATTGGGCCCATGGTGGAGCGAGAGGGCCTTGACAACGTAGGGCACAAAATAGTGGAAAACGAGGCAGCCGCTAAAGTTCTGGCCGTCAACAGTAAGCGCGACGTGGACGGGGAACGTCTCGTCGTTCGGCACGTGCTTGACGTCAAATGCTGGCGCCGTGCACTTGATGCAGAGGGCGTCATGGGACGATGGCGTCGCCCACACCGTTTTAGCCGGTACGTTGTCATCGATGGGCGCAAACCGAACGCGCAGCACCTACCCCCATGCTTGATCAAAGGACGATGCGTCAAGAGTCAGTTACTTTGGTTTGCTTGAGCTCCGTGAGAAGTAGTTGGAACGAGTCCAGGCGGTCGTTCTCGAGGCTAGGGAGAAATATCCCTACGCAAGACCCGCCATGATCACTCATGCATGTCCGCATTGGTGCTGTACGGAGCTTGGTGCCGCCGGTGAGCGAGCCCCCCGTGGGCACCAGCGTGTGCGGCACCCGCTCCCGGAAGAGCAAGCACTCGACCGTCGCGAGGCAAAAGTGCTCGCCGCGGTTGCAGGAGATGGTCCAGCGCGTCACACCGCAGTGGGTCTTGGGTGGTAGCGAGACCGAGATCTCCGTGGCCGACTTGCAGACGGCGTTCAAAATCATGCCTTGGGGAACACCGTCGTCCTATAAAAAGCGTCACTTTTTCAAATATCTCCAAGTACTCGTACCGGCGGCTGCGCCAGTCGAACGACGACTTCGCCCGTCTCAAGGAAATGGTGTCCTTGCAGAACAACGTCGACGGGGTGCGATCTACAAGGTGCGTGCGGCGCTGAACGCAAACGCGGGCGCCACGTACGGTGAAATGAGCACGGCGCGGGGCTTGACCGACGTCAAGTCAAAGTCGCGCCAGACGTTGTAGCAGAGTGCGCCAAAGAACTCGACTTTGTTGAGCGACACCTCGGCCGTCATAACGCCTGCGCACGCTATCAGACATGGGCTCTCAGATCTGAGAGTGGACCGATGCTGGTCTTCGGCGGCTGGAATTCGATGAGCATGTCGCCATTGACCTGGGAGGCGGCACTCCACGTGGCCGGTCGGACGACCGAGAGCGGGATTTTCGAGTGCTCCGAGACGTAGCTAATGCGCACGTAGACGGGCGACGCGGCCGTGACGTGCACTTTGCCGTCAACGTTGGGTTTGGTTTGCACAAAGCAGTGGCTATAGCGCTGCTCCAAAAAGAGCATGATGTTTGCATACGATGTCGCAGAGAACGGTAGGTGCGTCGGCGAAATCTTCTTGATCATTAGCTCGGGATGCAGCAGCATCTCGAGCGGGTTAGCCGCCAAAACGCCCGAAGCCTTGATCTCGAGTGTCACCTACACCCACGGATATGACATGTACGATGGCTGCGATTTGCGTACGGTGCAGGTCGAGATGCGGCTCTTGAGGTAGCTCGTGAGGCTCGGCATCGTGAAGCTCGCGGTGCCTTCGTTGCCCGACCGGACGTCGACGCAGACCTCGGTGTTGGTGAGCGGAAGAAACAGCCGCACGAGCATCGTCTGCGGCTGGAGCAAGAAGCCCGTGCCATGCACCGTGATCTCGGCGCCGCCAGCCGTCCACGCAGTCGTCGGGTCGAGGAGCCGCAGCCGGACGGGCTTGGCCATCGCGCGCCACGACGAAGATACAAGTGCCCTTTCCTCGGCCAATCGCGTGCCTGCATTGCCCGGAGATATCCCGGTGGCAGACGTTAAACCAACGTTAAACTGAAAAGCCTATGTCGCACCAAGTAGATGCAGGCACCCGCACGTGGAGCGATGCAAGAGAGCGCCAACGCGATGAAGCCAAGAATTAAGTGGTATGTGACGCGATTAGAAAGCGAGCGACGGTGCGCGCCCCGTGGATACCCCGCAAACTTGGTCCATGCCACAAATACCTGCCATGATACCACAAATACCACAAATAAACGCCACCTTTTGAACGAGCTAAAAATACAGGCAGAGTTGGATTCGCAGCATGGCCAACAGCTACAACAAGGTCGACAACCAGGGCGCTCTCATGGGCAACTGGGTCGAAGAAGAGGCGCTGCGCGACCGAACAGGCCACTCGCGCTACAAGACGTGGGACCCGAAGGAAGGTATGGGCCTCTCGCACCCCCGCGTCATCGCCCACTCGAGTGCGACCGAGGCCAAAGACTACCGCGCGGCCTCGCGCACGACGCCGTACTGCGAGGACTTTGTCATTCCCAGCAGTGTCGGACCGCGCGAGCGCCGGCGCCTTGAGGAGCTTCACGCCCAAGCCAAAGCGCTCAAGATCGCAATGGACGGCGAGCCCGAGGACGTGAGCGTGAAAGAGTCGACGGCGCACGCGTCCTTCAAGGCCGCCGAGAACGAGTACCTCGTGCATGGCATCACGCGCGTCGCTCCGCGCGGCAAAGGCGGCTTTAAAGGTACGTCAAAGGCGTAGCTTATACGCTTGTTATAGCGTGCTCGTATATGTAGACTACGATCCGTCGATCGTGGGCAAGACGCGGGGCGAGGTGGCCGCCATGGATGCCGCCAAGCTTCAAGTACACAAGGAGACGCCGCACTGTGCGACTGTGACCAAGTACACGCACGCGATCACGTCGGGCGAGGTGCGGGAGCCGTCGCGACGCAGTTGGTTGAGTTGTCAAGTGTAGGGGTTAGGGTTTCCGCTGACTGCCGCCGAGCCAGGACGCAATCCATTCGGCAAGTCGACGGGCTTTTCCAACGACATTTACGACACACGCGTACGCCTCTCTGAGTGGGTGCAGCCTCTTGATGAACGCGACAGGTTCGCCACGCGGAAGCCAGCTACCCCGGCGCCGAGACGATTCTGGGTAGCGGTTTGAACCTTCATGCGCGCTCGGCGGTCTCCAAGCTACAGCAGTGGGCCCAAGCCCCCGGTACAACCACTCTATACAGTGTGGAAATGGTAGCATATGACTGCTAGACAAACGGCGAGCGCTAGTTAAAGTCGGGTTGGACGTGCAGGGCGATATATCGCTCAAAGAGCTGCTCCTGGCACTGCATGAGATTGGCGTCACGGTCCCAGACAAGGACATTCAGCAGGTACGTTTCATTGTCGCACTATTACAATGCTAAATGGCTCTAGTTATTTGTCTCGTTGGACAAGAACCAGGGCGGGGCGATCGAGTGGACAGCGTTTGAAGCGCTCGTGCTGAATTTGTAGCTATCGGCAATAGTGTACACGTTTATATGCTTGGAAACACATGCAGCGGTTTATTCTGCAGAACAAAACACGCAAGAGGACGGTCAGAAGTTAGGCGCTCTTTACAGCTGGAGCGTGCGGTGGAAGACAGAGTACTTGCTCGCGCGCGTGTTGTCCTTGTTGTGCAAGTAGAGCCACGTCTCGATCGACTCGTCCGTCGCATTGCGGTTCCACTCGATGACGCGGCCCGTGCGCGGGTGGTTGCCCTTGTTGTACGCCGCGCCTATATAGTATCAATGTATCAGTACGAGCGATTTCAACTGTCTCTTCTACCGTAGCCGACGCCGCCGCCGTAGCACAAGTGGATCGAGTCGCGCTTGAAGCAAAAATCGTTGAGGTGGTTATGACCGCAGAACGTGGCCTTGACGTCGCCGTCTACAGCCAACGATTAACGCACGTTTGTAGATAGAGAGGCGTCGTACTCGCCACAAACGCGTCAAACAGGCCGTCGTTGTGGTCGTTGGACGCGACGTCTTCGCGCTTGGTACCCTGCGTCTCGTTGGTGGGCTTGAAGTCTTTGTACTCGGGCAGCGGGATGTGGAAGAAGCTCAATGCCGGCACGTTATCGCCCTTGTGGCTCACGCCGAGATCCTTGATGAGCTTGACCTGCGCCGGCGTCACGGACCCGTCGCGGTTGGTGTCGACAAAGTACAAGCGAATCGCGGCAGCGGCGCTGGCGTCTTGGATCGAGACTTCGTAGTTGCCGGCGCCACCAATGTTGAAGGGACCGTACTTGGCGTACGAGTGCGGAAGCGACTCGATGTACGCCATCATCACTTTGCGGTTCGAAAAGAGGTGCTTGGTCGATGTGAGACATGTGCGAAACAGGGGTAGGGTTCTACCGGAATCAAGCTTTCGTCGTGGTTGCCGAAGACCATGGCCCACGGCAAGCCGCGCTCATTGACGACCGAGGTTGCCGTGTCGATCGCCGCCAGCGACTGCTTCCAAGTCTACAGCAGTTGCCATGGGATCACTGGAGGATGGATGCTGTCATTACCTTTTGCACCCAGAGCGACTCGATTTGGTCGCCCGTGAACGCGACAAAATCGGGTTTGGTGTCGTCGACCATCTTGGTAAGCATTTCCGTCATGTACTTCTCAAAACAGAGCTAGCGACGGAATTAACAACAAAAATAGGACCACAATTCGTACCTGCTTCATGTCGTCGGGCTTGTTCATGCACGGAAAATAGTCCCAGTTGGTGTAATGCAAGTCGGGCACTTGGAGAATGCGGTACGTCTGGGCACCGCTGGCAGTCTTGCGCACCACGAGTGGCTGGCGCTTGATGAGTGCGTTGGCCGCCAGCTGCTCCTTCACGGCGTCGTCGATGACCTTGTTCACCGCTGGGAGCTCGAGTTTCTTGATGAGCGCGGCGACCTGGTTGGCGAGCGTGTTCATCCAGAACGCGTCCGAGACGGCGAGCGACAGCAGAAGGAGGCTCAGCACGCGCATGTTGGTCGAGTGCAAGGCAAATTTGAAAATGAAGTTGCCTCCTGCACTGGCACTTCACTGGCCGAGACAGAACCCAGCCGGCGTAGACAGGCAATGCGATGCCACCCAAATATGCGTGGATGCTCAAGAGAGTAGCCTTTGCCTCAGACGCAGCCAGATTCGCTCCCGTTGCGCATCACGTCACGGGTCGCAAATACTAGCTAGAGTCAGAAAAGTGTAGTTGCTGGGTTGTAAAACCAAGGGAATAATGCAACTCCCTTGAAAAAGCAGACCGTCTTTATTGGAAGCTCCTCTGGGTACGTGCGTCGGTTGTGAGGAATTCTTGCTCTTCGATCTCTACATACCTTTGCCGTACCCCGTGGTCAAAGAAAATACGCGTATTTTATAAAAGTCCTGCTTCTAGGAGCGTTGGGATACTGTCGTCACGCCTGGTTTGGGTGGCGGCCAACGTCGCATCGCACGATCGGAACTGCGAGAAGGCGCCGCGCATTTTCCTCGAGATGCGCACGCCGACAGAGTGGACTATAGTGACCACAGGTACGTATTTATGCGTCACGCGAGATTTGCCTAACTCGCGTTGGGATTTTCCAGTGTCATACGTGGCACAGTCTGCGCGTCTGGCTTGGACGTTGATCTGATTCGGGTACCAGCTGCTTGAAGGCGCCAGCTGGACCAGAAAGACGTCTTCAGGTTGCAGCTGGTGCGTGTGACGAGGCTCCAAGACGGCACTGGACCGAATCTGGAGGCGACGATGAATCTTGCAGCGTAAGTTCCATCCTCACGCAAGTCTAGTAATGCACTAGCACATGAACGAGACACTTCTCACAACAAACGAATCTTGCAGTGTGGTATCGCTTTTCATCAACCATGATGACGATATGAGTTACTTCCAACGCGCCTGGCGTCGCTATTTGTACTCTTCACGAGTAAGGTCGGATTAGCCGTTCGCAATCAGCCGACTTCGCATTGATCTCGCGGCAGCATCATCTCTAAAAGCTACTTGGTTGTGTGCGTAAACGCTCGGAGATTCGGTCTCTGAGGCGTCTGAGTTTTGGAGACTCAACTACATACACGACTCTGGGGAAGATTCATTTCCGATCCTGGCTACAAGAAGAGAATCCTCGGCATAAGCCTTGCAGAAGTCCACCTTTGACGCCAAGCGGACGCCATCAGTGCCACTCCATTTTCGCACGTGCTGAAAACACGCAACTTTAACACCTAATTTGAGCAATACTCGCCCAGTACCATTTTCTTTGCGTGAGTGCCCAAGAGCACTGCTCGTCAATGTTCAACACTACATGTATGTATTTACTGTCATTCCGCGAGCTACAATTAGTTGGCAGCAGTCGAGTTGCGTTCAAACAGCTTGTACTGCTGGTACGTGTTGGCCGCTTGATGAAAGTACTGCCACGTTGATATGGTTTCGACGCCACCCGAGACCTTCCAGTCGATGACTCGAGCGCGGCGCGAGTAGCTGCCCTTGCCGTACGCCGCACCTACATCATGCCAAAATGAGCTCCGCAATCACAGAGCAAGCAGCCAACCGTAGCCCGCTGAACCGCCGTAGCAGAGGTGGAGGGGGCTCTTGTAAAAGCAGAAGTCGTTAAAGTGATCATGGCCACAGAATGACGCCTTGACATCGCCCATCTCGACCATCGTGTCGAAGAGGTGGCTGTTGGTCTTGGCCGCGCTCACGGGGTCGCCGCGGCCGCCCTGGCCCGTGCCGTTGAACGCCTTGTACTCTTCGATAGGAAAATGAAAAAACATGAGTGCCGGCGCCTTCTCGCTCTTGTGGGCAGCGGCGAGCGACTTCATGTGCGTATTTTGCGCCTCGGTGACGGTACCGTCACGGCCCGTGTCCATGAAGTACATGCGCAGAGCCGTCGCGTTGGTCGTCGGCGACTGGACAGCGACTTCGTAGTTGCCAGCGCCGCCAATGTTGAACGGACCGTACTTGGCGTACGAGTTTTTGACCGTCTCGATGTACGCCATCATGATCTTCTTGTTGGCAAAGAGTTGCTAGACGAGATTTTGATATGAGAGTATCGCAAAAGGACTTGGTAGTACCGGCGCCAAACTGTCGTCGTGGTTGCCAAAGACCATGGACCACGGGATCTTGCGCTTGTTGACCTCGGCCGAGTACGTGTCGATGGCCGCAAGCGAGTTCTTCCACGACTAGACGCACGCAAATGATTGACACGTTTGGACGGGAAGACTGCACCATGGGCCAAATCAACGACTCGATCTGGTCGCCAGAGAAGACGACGTAGTCGGGCTTGACGTCGTCGAGCATCTTGGCCGTCATTTGCGTCATGTACTTTTCGACGCAAATCTAGCCGCACCAATAAGATCTCTTCGCGAACAAAAGGCGCAGTACCTTTTTCATCGAGTCAGGCTTGTGATCGCAAAGGTACAAGGCAAAGTTGGTGTAGTGCAAGTCCGGGATCTGCAGCACGCGGTAGCTTGCGCTCGACCCGTTTTCGTGCACCACGAGCAGCGGGCGCTGGATCGTAGCGCTCTGTGCGAGCGAGTCTTTGACGTACTTGTCAATGTGCTCGTTGACAGCCTTGATCTCGCCGGCTTTGAAGAGCTTCTCGATGAACGCAGTAAACTCTTGGATCGTGAGCCCCGTGGCCGAGTGGGCCGCAAGCGCCAGCACAGCAGCAACCGAGAGAGCGCTCCGCATCTCGAGGTAAATCGAAGACTGAAGACCAAATGCCAAGGCGCTGGGTTCTGCAAACAGGCTCGAAAATGCTCGTGGGGAATCTTAGCCCCTCAAACATCTGAATGCCAATAGGGCAGAATGGTCCAACAGTTGAGGTCTGCTTGGATAAATGGCTACTGCTTGAAGAAGATCAGCTCGCTTTGGCAGATTCAAGTCCAAGTGCGCTGCTTCCGTCAAAGGCGAGGTGGTACCCGATATCCAGCGCCGCAAACACTGGATAGTTGGATGGCGGATAGACAGGCGCAATGCTTTAAGCGACTCGTGCTGCACGCCGTGGGATCATTGAATCGAATAATACACTGCACAGTTCCTCTTCACTTCCCTGTCGTTGGTCGTACTTGCAGAAACAGTGTATTGCAAACAGAATATAGAGCGATGAAAACGGCATCGGTTTCACTGCTAAAACTAAACCTTCGGGCGCGATGAGCCAGCTCGCGCTGCGGGCGCAGAATGACTACATCTTCAACCTCCAAGTTCAGATGGACAAGTACGCGCGCCTCATTAGCTCTGTGAACGTTCGCATCAAGTCGCTCGAAGACGAGTACAAGACGGTGCAGCAAAAGGTCGCACAGCTTCGCCTCAAGCGGTACCGCGACTGTGTTTTCACAAGCTGCATCAATAATGAGATTGCAGAAACGAAGGCGACCAGCGCGGCGGAGGCATCAACGCTGTCAAGTCCATGATCATGTGCGAAAACCGAGAGGTTGGGAAGCTCGAGAACCGCCTCGCGGCCTGTCGAACGCGGTAGCTCACTGCTTTTGCTTGCGTTTCGCATATCTGAGTTCTTATTGGCGCTAGTGAGAGCAAGCTCGTGGCGACCAACACGGAGCTCAAAAAGAAAATTGATGCCCTCCGCGCCAATCGACTCTTTAGCCAAACCGTGTTCGAAAAGGTTTGATCCTCCTGCACTGAGTACGACTTAATAATACGTACTGTGATAGAACCAAAAACGACTTCGCGACATTCAGCGCCAAATGCAAGAGACGTTCAAGGTCTCGACGGCCATCATGGGCGAGCGTGACAAGGTACATGGAGCTCCCTACTGCGATACGTATCGACGGCCGTAGGTCATCGCCCAAGCGCACTCGCTCGCAAGTGTCAACATGGAAGAGCAAGAAGCCTTTGACGATATTTACCAAAACCTGGCTATGATCATCGCCCGCGAAAAAGAGTCGGCCGGTCCACTCCTTCTCGAATCCCCAATTTTGACTGAAAGTTGGTGGTTAGATTCGTTCCGGAAGGAGGCCCTCAAGTCCGAGACACTCGAGACACACGATGAAAACTACGTACGTGGCAACTACCGCATCGAAGAGGAGGCCGAAATGAAGCTCACACTGCACAAACTGGATGTGGCGGTGCGTTTTTAGCTGGAGGAGCCGCCGCATATTTATCTTTTGTGTACTAGCTTCGGGAAGACAAGACTGCGATTGAGGTCGTCAGTGAACGCCTCAAGCTGCACGAGTCGACGTTCAAGCAGATCATGGTACGTTGTATTGTCTCTACCTACCATTGTGCTACAATATGTGTGTAGAAGCACACGGGCTGCGACGACTACCACAAGTTGGTCGACATTTATACCAAAAAAGAAGAGGAAAATTTCGCTCTCTTTCGCTACGTGCAGGTATCGCTGCTCCATCAACAAAATTTGTGTGATTGAGGAATTTGAACTAGAATATCAACAATGAAAGCGAGCAGCTCGAAGAGCAAACCGCAGCGTTGCAGCGCGAGCAGCAGCGGTAAATCACCGAAATCGGTGCCACTCGAGTGCTATGCCAATCATTTAGCTATGCGGACGAACTCAAGGAAGGCAGCGCCAACATGCGCAAGCGGCTCATCGACAGCTTGGAAGAAACCCGTCAAAAGTGGGTGAAAAATGATTTTTGCACTGTTTCTTCACCAATGTACAGAATTCTCAAGGAAAACGTCGAATACGAGCGTCTGCGCCAAAATGCCCAGCGCGAGTTTGGGCCGATCGCGCGCGCTGTCGACAAGCTCTACAACTCGCTTGGCTGCAACGAAATGGCGCCGGTAGTACACGGCTCAACCTCGTTAGGCGAATGACAAACGCTATTTCTATAGCCATCCGCCAACTCAGTCAACGCGGTCTCGGGCAAAAACGACGACCAGAATGCCATGGCGGTACAGTGCAGGACAAAATCGACGAGTCCAATACCCTTGCCATCGACTAGATTCGCATGAGCTCGATGAACGACTTGTTGGCGGCCCACGGGATCACCGAAGGCAACATTCTCCAATTTCTTGCGGTACAAGGACCGAGCCAAATCTTTTTTCAAATTGCGTGCGATTAGATCATTGAACAACGGAGCAACGACTTGCTGGAGCAATTTACCCGCCGCCTGCAGCACAAGAACCCGCAAAACCTCGCCACGACGTCGCTCGGGGCGCACTTGCAGCCGAGCGACCCGAACCGCGCCAACGGCTTGCACCTCAATTTCAATCTCAACCAGGCGCCGCCGCACTTGATCGAGGGCAATTCCGAATTTGAGAACAACAGCGACGAGGACGACGGCCTCGTGCCCGTCTCTACCAGCGACCTACAACGCAAGGCCGCCAAGAGCCTCTCGGGCCAGATGCAGGTCAACACCAAGTTTTCGCCCGGCAAAAACAAAAACAAGAAGCGCAAATAGCGCGTTCATAGCATGTTGCTAATACACTGCAGAATTCCTACGTGCCGTTGAGCCGTTGAGCTGCGCTTGGGGCAAAGGACACATGGGAGGGACATGCGCCGGAGCAAAAACACACGTACCGGTATCATACAGTAGCGCAACGCCCGACGTCTGATAACAGAATGCGCGACTCAGATGCGGGAACGATGCGGGACACCCCCTTGTTTTTCACACTGCGTCAGATTCTGCACCAGAAATCGAGCATCGTCAATCTCCAATATCATATTCCTAGCAGTGCTAGAGAATCAGTCCAGGTTGAAGCGAGAACGGGACCCGAATCTTGCAAAGCAAAAAGCCGCGGTACTGTCTTGGGTCAGTGCAAAGCCAGGCCATTTCAAGCCCTTCCGCGACCATGTGTCTCAAGACCTGATGGGTGGGACTCATATGGTCCTTGGTAGCAGACATCCCACCGTCAGCCTTGCGTCGGTCCTTTCCTCACATCTGGTCGAGTTGGCTCTGCATTTGACCAGTTCTGATAGACAAGATGCAGATATTGCGACACTTGGAAATGAGCCTCGGCTCTGGAAGGCGTAAAGGTACCGGTACATGGTGAACGATGAGAGGCTATGGTGCTTGCTGCATTCCAGAAAGGCTGCCACTTTTTCTTATTGATTCTACTAATACCTTATTGATTCGACTAGTATCTTATTTGATTCTAGTAGTATCTTATTGATTCCATCTTGTTGTTTTCATGAGCGATGGCGTATCGAGGCCGAGGTTGCCACGGGGTTGCCCGCTATAAAATAACTCGTTTCTATTGTCGCCACATCGTGTGCCTCGGAAGTCTTCGATCAGACTGCTTGGGTGCGCCTGGAGCAGCTACTTGTTGAGGAGAAGCGTTTGGCGTATGTGCAAACGAAGCGCTTGCATACGTAGACCCGTCCCACTGCGTATCTCGAGCAAGATTCATGCCGCGGAATCTCTCCAAATCGCCGCCCATTTTCTGTTTATAAGTATGCGCATCCTCCTCGTACTGCTAGCGTTGGTGGTAGCCACCAGCGCGTTCGACTTTAATGTTCTCCAAGACAAGGTCCTCGCTCTCTTGCGCAAGGCCGAGCACGCGACGCTCGACCCGATCATCGACGCCGCTGTCAAAGACGCGCTAGCGGAGACTGCCAAGATCCAGCGACCGGCGCTGCTGGCCAAGCCCCATAGCGACGGCTCGCTGCGCTTTCGCATTCTTCAAATTCCCGATCTGCACTATACAAATCTCGCGCTCTATCCGTGCGACCACAAACCCGATACCATGCTAGGGGTAGGGACACTCGCATGTCACAATCATTGATGTGATTTGACTAGCTCTGCGTCGAGGCCTACATGACAACTATGGTCAGCAAGATGCTCGACGATGTCAAGCCCGACTTCGTCGTCTTCACGGGCGACCAACTGGAAGCGCTCCATTTTCCGCAGGTACGATGAAGCTGGGTGTTTCTAGTCTCAATGCCACCCACTGTGCAGACGTGGCTCGGGTCGCTCGCGGCCATCAACACGTACGCCGCCGAAGTCGAGAAGCGCAAGATTCCGTGGGCGATGGTATTTGGCAACCACGACGAAAACGTGGATCCGGTATCAAATTTCGCTCCTTGACATCCTGTTGCGATACTCCATTTGTAGTACCTCTTTGCCAACAAGCACGTCATGATGGCCTACATCGAGTCGCTGCCGCACTCGTACGCCAAGTTTGGACCGTATGGCATTGGCGGAGCCGGCAACTACGAGCTCCGTGTCGCCGCGGGTGGCGCGTCACTGCACTTGTATTTTCTTGACACGGGCAAGGACGGGACAGTCTCAGCTGGCCAAAAGGCGCTTCTGCGGTCGTTTGCAGCGTCTCATGCGCCCGAGAAAGCCCCTGCGCTGGCTTTTTATCACATTCCAGTGCAAGAGTACAACGACTTCAACGGCACTGGCCAAGGATCGAAAGGTGAAGCTGTCAGCTCCGGCGTCATGAACACGGGGCTCTTCGACACGATGGTTCAGAGTAGGATTCTACCATCACTGCACACATGCAGAGTGGCGCTGTGTAGTGGGCGACGTCAAGGCCTCGTTTTGCGGCCATGATCACTTCAATGACTACTGCTTTCTTCGCGGGACGGTGCACCTCTGCTACGGCGGCGGTGTCGGCTATGGTGGGGCGCTTGACTAATTTTGTCGACTATCGAAGCGCTTAGGAGCGGCGTACGCCAAGGGCGACCACCCGCGCACGGCTCGCGTGATCGAATGGAGCGTCTCGCCCAAGAACGAGTCGAATCACCACTTGGCTCTACAAGCACAACACCAAAAACACCGACGACAAGTACTTGGTCTACCAGCGCGACGCCCGCACTGTTTAAGCCAGCCATAACAGCACGTCACTTTGACATGATTTGATGTATCAGAGCGTCATGTGCTCGTGCAGTTGAAGGGACAAGGTTGTCTTTAGCACATTGCTACTACCGGCGTGGTGGTGGCTTTACCGAGCAAAAGCGCTAAAGTTGGAGCCAATCATTTACGTAGTTGCTGCGCTTTGCGGGACACACTGTACTCTACTTTCGATGGTGCCGGCGCCGTACTACATGTACTGTTGTAGTATACCGTTGCTACAAAAGTATATTCTACTGGACTCGACTAAGGACTACCAAGTTGATGGATGGCACACTATAGTTTATATTGTGGTCCGTATTTAAAAAAAACGATGCATTTCATGATTAGAAAAGACTGGCGCGTGCGCGACGCAAAACGATTACTGAGGCGCGGTGCGCTGAAAGAGTCCGTACTGCTGGTACGAGTTGGTCGCTTCGTGGAAATACTGCCACGTCGAGATACTCTCGACGCCACCCGAGACCTTCCAGTCGATGACGCGCACGCGGCGCGAGTAGCTGCCCTTGCCGTATGCCGCGCCTAGCCATGGATCGATCGGTATGTCGAGCTGCGACTGTTCAACGTACCGTAGCCGGTTGCGCCGCCATAGCAGAGGTGGAGGGGGCTCTTGTAAAAGCAAAAGTCATTGTAGTGGTCGTGGCCGCAGAACGATGCCTTGACATCGCCCATCTCGACCATCGTGTCGAAGAGGTGGCTGTTGGTCTTGGCCGCGCTTACGGGGTCGCCGCGACCGCCCTGGCCCGTGCCGTTGAACGCCTTGTACTCTTCGATCGGGATGTGGAAGAACATGAGTGCCGGTGCCTTCTCGCTCTTGTGGGCAGCGGCGAGCGACTTCATGTGGGTCTTCTGACCCTCCGAGACCGTCCCGTCCTTGCCTGTATCCAAGAAGTACATGCGCAGAGCCGTCGCGTTGGTCGTCGGCGACTGGACGGCGACATCGTAGTTGCCGACACCACCAATGTCTGTTGGTCCATACTTGGCGTACGAGTATGGAAGCGACTCGATGTAGGCCATCATGACCTTTTTGTTGGAGAGCAGCGCCTAGGAATATACATCATTTAGGGTTCGGGTCTGTATAAAAGACAAAGAACCGGCGTGTAGCTCTCGTCGTGGTTGCCAAAAACCATGGCCCAAGGGATCTTGCGCGTATTCACGGCCGCCGAGTACGTGTCGATGGCTTTGAGTGCGTTGGTCGACGACTAAAATAGTGAAAAATCATGCCAAAAGGATTTTGAACGTGGCGATACCATGGGCCAGATGAGCGACTCAATTTGGTCGCCGGTAAACACGACAAAGTCGGGCTTGACGCTGTCGAGCATCGTGTTCATCATTTCTGTCATGTGCTTTTCATAGCAGGCCTAGTCATATTCCAAAATAAATCATCAGGTTTGGTGCGAACCGGCACCGTACGCCCTTGTGCGAGTCGGGCTTTCCGTTGCAAATGTAGTAGTCGTAGTTGGTGTAGTGCATGTCGGGCACTTGGAGCACACGGTACGCGAGGTCCTTGCCGACTTGGCGAACGCTCAGCGGCGGGCGCGTGATCTTGGCCGACTCGAGAAGCGAGGCGCGCACGTGCTCATCGATCACGACCTCAACGCCGTCCTCATCGCCGGCCTCAAGGCGGCTGTTGACGTCGTCCGCGAGCGAATCAATGTCAATGGCGGCGGCGATGGCCAGCGAGGACAACAGCAGTGCAAAGCGCATTATGGAGAATTTGAAAGTGAAAATGGAAGCACTAAGCTTCGTTTTGCCCGACTACATCTGATATACGGCTGCTTCAATGCCTCTGATTTGAGCAGCGAATCTCGCAGAAATACGCCATTGACGCCTTTATGTCTTGAATCTTCTTGCATTTCGTTTCGCATACTGTGCATACGCATACATCGTCTACTCGACTAGACTAGTCGTTGGGTTGAAAATAGATTGAAATCAAACTCTTCTCAGTAGTGCACTGATTTTTGAGTCTTGAAGATTCAAAAATACAATGAACGACACTCGTCTTGATCATGTACCACCGAGAACGGTTCGAGACGCGTCGACTTTGGACATTCAGATTCAATTTTAAGGGTCCAGGCCCAACCTGCTGTTTGAAATGTCTGCAGGAAGCGTCTGGCGGGACGCAGCGTCGTCCAATAAAGAGTGGAACGAATACGCTAGGCTCGTCGCGCTGATTCAGTCACCCGTTTCGTGCGCCACCCAATACTGTACAAACTTGTGAAAACAATTCTTCGACTTGGTGGGATTCGAGCTCTCGACACGCTCGATCCGACAGTTGCTTGCGACGGCGTGTATACGCAAGCCATTTGCCGTGCCGTGGTCTTCACGAGTGATCATCTCTTTGGGTGCTTCTACGCGTTGCGAGTCGTCCAATCACAGCAAAATACGAGCAGTGCCATTTACTTAGGTGACGACTTGACGCTGCAGAGGCGGTGCGTCATATCAGAGCTCAATGAAATCTAGTGCAAGGAAAGACTGCCGTAGTATCCTGCACCCTAGTGCCCATGGCTCGTCGTGGCACCGCAACCGCAGAAAATGGTCGGCCGACACGATCCGGATGTCCCCAGATGGCACGGCAGAAACAGTGGACGCGCCGCATGTTTTTCAGGATCGCGCTCCAGAGTGGGCGGTCGATGGCCCCACGGTGGTACGGGATGCTTGAATCAGGAAGGCGGTAATACCGGGCGACATCCACTGCCGTCCATCGTCACGGTTGACCCAACACAGCTCTTGCAGCCGCGCAGCTATTGCGAGCTCGTCATGCTTGTCTAATTCCATACGGTTTTGCGGACGAACCCAAAATACAGTGTCGATACACGTTCTCATTTTTCAATCGGACCCATGAAGCTCGCTTGCCTCGCAACAACGCTCGCGCTTGCGCTGATGGGCGCCGACGCGCAGCTCAACATCAACTGGCTTGTCAAGATCGTCGCGGACAAGCTCAAGCAACTGGAGCTCCCGATCGTCAACGAGTTCATCGACAAGGAGGTGCAGAAGGCCCTTGTCGAGACTGCCAAGATCCAGCGCCCGCCGCTCGTGGCGCGCCAGAACGGTGACCTGCTCTCGTACAAAATTCTTCAGGTCCCCGACATGCACTACACGGCCAACCGGTTCTTTCCCTGTATGGACAAACCCGAAGATATGAAGAAGCTCTGTTTCGAGTCGTACATGACCGAGATGATGAACAAGATGCTCGACGACGTCAAGCCCGACTTTGTCGTCTTCACTGGCGACCAGATCGAGTCGCTTTGGTACCCCCAGGTTTGTCACATTGCCGTTATTAGCCGTTTTATACCATTTTCGTAGACGTGGCTGTCGTCGATTGATGCGATCGACACGTACTCCAAGCACGTGATTGACCGCAAGCTGCCGTGGGCCATGGTCTTTGGCAACCACGACGAGAGCATTACACCGGTATTTCCTGCTCTTTCAAGCGCTCTACTGACGATATTTCGATACGTATCAGCACCTCTTTTCGAACCGCAAGATCATGATGGCGTACATCGAGTCGCTCGATTACTCGTACGCCAAGTACGGTCCCTTCAACATTGGCGGCGCCGGCAACTACGAGCTGTCGCTCAAATCACCGAATGCTACCGACATGATGCACATGTACTTTGCCGACACGCACAACGACGGCGACATTGCGCCGGCGCAGCTCGACTACTTCAAGTCTGTCGCTGCGAAATACAAGGGCCAGGACGTGCCCGCGCTCATGTTTTTTCACATTCCGATGCCCGAGTACAAGGAGTTCAACGGCGTTGGGCAAGGCGACCGCCGCGAAGGCATTGGAGGTCACGCCAACCACAGCCTTTACGAGGCCATTGTCGAGAGTATGTCCGACCATTGATGGTGGGAAGACGTTTATGTGGTCGCTGTGTAGTGGGCGATGTCAAGGCGACGTTCTGCGGCCATGACCACTTGAACGATTTTTGCTTCAAGAAGGACAACCTGCACATGTGCTACGGCGGCGGCGTTGGCTACGGTACTCACGCGCCGTTCTAATCGACGATGAAACTCAAGACCGCTAGGTGCTGGCTACAACAAGAAGAACCATGCGCGCACGGCCCGCGTCATTGAATGGACGCGGTCGCCGAGTAACGAGTCGATCTCGACGTGGCTGTACCGCCACAACCAAGTCAACAGCCAGGACAAGTACACGGTGTTTGAACGCTCGTTTGCGTAATCTTTGGGTCGAGATATGGAAATGTCATTGCGTAAACGACCAATAGAAACGATCTTTGATTGTGCAAAGTTGATAAAAGTGAATGGTTTCTCGCCCGATAGTAGGCTTCAAGTCTGACGACAACACACATTTGTGATCAACCGCCGTGTGCCGCGTCTTCCGTTGGTGCATACGCAGAGGCTCAAGGGCTCTGACCGATTTGGGCATCCGTTTCAGCGCAGTCGCAACCTGAGTCAGTGAGGGTGACCGATGCCGTCGTTGAGGCAGTAAACACCTTCGCCGAACAAGTCTCAATCCAGCGGGTATGCATCCTACCGACGTAGCGTTCCTGGGCGTCGACGTGGATTCGTGAAGCGCCTTGACATCCACCACTCTAAGAAAATGCTAGTTTATTGAGAGAATGTTATTAGCCAAGTATTTCCGAAAGATACTTCTCAAATTTCGAGGAACACTATATTCCTCTGTTGTTGGAACGGCGTGGCACCACTGCGTGTGCTCTATATGTGGGCACCATTTTACCAGCCAATATTCAGAAAGGACCGCGTCCGAGGATATATCACTTGTTCGTGGTCATGTATCAACGGTGTTCTTGGCGTTGGCGGGGTTGGCCTTCGACGTCTTGCAAGCTCGAACCGCCACGTATCTTGAAGATCGGAGTTCTCCAATCAAATCCCTATTTTTCAACATGTCGCTTGATTTCGACCAATCGTGTCGCGCTTCGGTTGGCGCCACACGGTGCGCCACATTCGAGTTCGCCTCAAGCATTGTGCGAACAGCGTCATGGTCACATCAGCCTACTTGCGCGGCGTCTTTCATCTCCGACGACCGGACGCGGCGAGGCTGCCCCCCAAGCCTGCCAAGAGCCAAGCGCTCGACTTGGACCAAAACCCGAAGCGGGAAGATGTCGTTAGGCGCCTTGAACGCGACTCGCTGCGAGAAGAACTCGCAGTCTTTGCAAACCAGCGCCAATTGAAGTCGCTGCGCATCCCGCTACCGCGCCACTGGACACAGGACCACCGGGCGTCCTTGGATGCCATCGCGGCCTCAGTGCACGGACTCACGGTGGTCATCGACGATGATGCGCTCGTCGCGGCGCTGCCGGATACGAGTGACGCACCCGAAGTCTTCGTCAACGTCCCCGAGCTGGCGGCAAAAGGTCACGACTCGTTCGTGGCGCACCTCCGGCACGACCGCATGGACTCAGCAGGTCGATTCCTTCTGTCGAGCGTAATTTCATGGTTTGCGCAGGCGGCCATCGAGTGCATATGCTCTGGGACGTCGCCCAGTTGCAGTCGACAAGTGCGCACGCCTTCGAATCCGTTGTCGGCGGCGAGGGCGGCGTCTACGCGCTGTCGTCGTCGCCGTCCGGCGCCAAGGTCGTCATGTTCAAGCCCATCGAAGAAGAGGTGTTCGTCCGCGAAGGCCTCTGCGCGGGTGAAGGCGCTGTGCGAGAAGAAGCCGCGTACGTTTCTGATAAATGCTCGGGCATCTTGACTTACTACGGCTGTAGCTACGTCTTGGACGCTGCGATGGGTGGTTTTAGCGGCGTGCCTCCCACGGCCGTCGCGCGGCTGCACATGGCCAACTGCAAACTCAAAACAACCAGCAGCGCCAACAACGCCGGCTGGCTCAAGCTCGGTGCCGTCCAGCGGTTCATGGGCCCAAGCGCTGGCAGTATGGAAGACTTTGGCATGCCCCATGCGCTTGAAAAAGCGGCTCAAATGGTCTCAGTCGACCAAGGTACCCGGGCTTTCAAGGCGATCGGCTCACGCGTCGATAGTCCATCGCGTTGGGCTCCTCGACGTGCGCCTCTTCAACACGGACCGCCATGGCGGCAATCTTTTGCTCCTTGGCAAGTCCGCACCGTACACACTCGTGCCCATTGACCACGGGTGTATCCTTCCGAGCTGGTATTATTTGCAGCTCGATGCAGCGTGGGAGCGGCACGCTCGACGTAGGGACCGCCTGAGCGAAGCGCGTCTGGACTGGGCCACGTACCCGCAGGCCAGAGCGCTGTTCAGTCCCGCGATGCGCCAACACGTCGCGGCCTTGAATGCTGCGGCAGACGCCCACCGCCTTCGCCGTCTCGGTATGGACCTCTCATCTGTTGCAAGAAATTGACCGATCTATGGAGGCATTCGAGAAGAGTGCATCGCGACGCTGTATATTTGCACGCTCGTGCTCAAGACGGCGACTCTGGCCGGTGCGTGGAGCAACTTGGTGTGCTCAACGTTAAGTACCACGTCTTATTGTAGGCAAATCCCTGGCGTGGATCGGCGCCTACTTGAGCCGAGACGGTTGCTTTGAAGCGCCGTCTCGGCTGGAAGAAGCCATCGCGCGCGCGTGCACGGCATGCGACATCCCTTATTTATGGACGAAGAACGACCACGGCGAAGCCCGCTTTGACGTACACTGATTCTTATGCGTCAAGAATTAGACTGATTGTAGGTGGCCGATGGTATTCTGCGCCGTCGCCCCCCAAACGTGTTTTACGCGTGTCTTCAAAAAGCGATGACGCTCGACGCGACGGCAACCAAATAAACATATTTTAGCATTGGATACATACATATTATTTGAAAGATTGATATATAACGCATGCGCAGTTTTGCTTACATGGTCAACACGTCTTTCGTCACCTTGACCGGTCGCCGCGCGTCTTTGGCTTTCAAGTACGTTTGAAAATCCTATGGACATTGATATATCGATACAGTTGCGTTAGCGAATAGTACCTTGTCTTTGATAGCGTACTTTTTGGCGAGAAGCTGGCTCGGATCGTCTTGGTCGGCGTCCTTTTCGCCCTTGGATGGACATACTTTGGTATAGCTAAACACGGTAATTGCGTCCTAGAGCTACACATCAGTACTGGCATCGAGAAAACAAAGCGTATACGCGGGCAGGGGACTTGGCCTCGGCCGCAGCAATGTGCGCAAATGAGCTGCGTCCCGAGCTGCGCTGGTCACGAAGGCTTTGTAGGTGGTACGCCTTTTGCGATAGCTCGTGCATTTGCTTGATCAAGTCCTACGAAAGGTTGACACTTTTCGACTACGAATGATGCCAAGTCGGTCACCGGCTTGGGCTCGGCCATCGACATCATGCGTTTTTGGAGGGCCCGCGACTTTTCAAAGTATTCGTCAGCACGCAATGCCACGTCGGCGGCTGGCAGCGGTTGCCAACGGAGCGGAATTTTGCTCGGTCCAACGAATCCCTGGGTAAACCCCTAGCTCGCGGAGGTTATACCTCCAAACCAAACCAACCACCAAGAAATTTACCTGGGAGAAGAGCGCCCACGTCACAAGGCTTGTGGTGGGTGGGTCGACGTCTTCTTGATCAATCTCGGCGGCCGTCATGGGTCGCGTAACGTGTGCGAGTAATTCCGTAAAGTTGCTTTCTTCGTGGAGAACATTGTCGTTGAAGACAAGCTGCTGACCATGGTCGAGCATTTCCGAGATTATGTGTCCGAGAAGGGTTGCAAAAATACCCCTAATTGTCATTTGCGAGCTCCGTGTCGTGAACATGATATCGCCCACCCGCGTTTGTGCGGGTCGGCCGCTCGAAAGGCTTTGCGCAGATGGCAGAGGTCCCACTCGTCCATGACGGTTGCGTTTTGAGCAATCGCAATCGCGCGGTTGCTCGCATTTGTTTGGCTCGTAAACGACGCGTCGGTCATTTGAAATTGCTTCTTTCGCTCCGCTTCTTCTTGGGCCTAGTCGGAGCCATGGGGTCGGAATCTTTGGGAATAACACTTGCCTTGTGGCGTCGTTCGATCACCGATACTTCCTTCATGAGCATTTTGACCGTGCCGGACCATTCATGCGGCTGCGGCTCCTTGGTCAGCTGGTGGTTGTTGTTGGCTTTGGCGGTGTGGCCGGGCCGCCGCAGGTTGAGCCTATTGAGTCGATTTGTGCGTGTCAAAAATCGAAATATTCGGGAAAATTATGCGTGAAAAATGTACTTTTTGGCGGCGAGGCGCTCGTCGGGGGTGATGACGTGCCGATCAAACACTTCGAGCGACGGAATCGCTGCGATCACGTGCAGACGGTAGTTTTCTTCTTCGGCCAGCGGATTCCCAAACAAATCTAGCGCCACATGCATGAATTCGGGGTCTTCCACAAAAATATACCCAAATCGTGCAAGTGCAAAAGCTTGGAGAGGGTTCGAAGCGTCGCGTGCAGGTCCTGGAGGCGGTTGTTGAAGAGTCGAAGCTCGCGCAGAAATGTAAAATGCAAGAGCGATCCATCGACCGTCCTATTAAATCAAGACAACTCATTCGAGCCGCTGCAAGCTAGGATGCGTCGTCGTACGAGATACGGTTGTTCTGCGCAAACAAATACTTGATGCGAAAGCACGTGTCAAGACCCGTGAGCTTTTCAATCTATCGTTGCATGAGTCCTTGCCAATGGAAAATAGCACGAATGTACGTAGTTGTCGTTGATCCACAGCACTTCGAGGCTCACAAACGGTTCAAAATTGCCGAGGACATCGATCTCGCGGTGCGCCAGCACGAGCTCGGTGCAGTTCTTGACGTACTTTTCGTTGGAGACCGCGAGCTCCTTGTGCGGCTCCGACACACGCATCCCGTCGATTCCAGCCGTCTAATTTTAACGTCCGTTAAGGTTGAAGTTGCCACCCATGACGTGGCGCGCTCCTGGTAAAGGAAGTCAAGAAACATCAGAAAAAAGTGCTTTGGTTGATTAAAATTCGTGCGGCGCCGTCGCGCCCTAGCGCACTCATGGCATGTCAATGTCGTCCTTCGCACGACGAAGCGCCTCGAGTTTGTTGCCAAGCTCGTCGCGGCGCAGCGCGTCAGCGTCGTTCTCAAAGAGGATGCGCTCCAGAATCTCATCGGTTGCGTCCATCGTCTCCCAGCGGCGCGCCAGTTGCGCCACATACGGCTTGACCAGACTGCTGTTGAGCTCCATTGGTACCATGTCGGTAAAGCGCTTCTTGGCCACGTGCAAATATGCCGCAATCGCATGGTGGAGGTCAGTGGCTTGGGCGTCCTCGTTGGTCACCAAGCCAACCCCGGCGTGCGTCTGGAGGAGGGCTTTCACCGCCCCCATCGATACGTTCGCACCGTCGTTGTTGCCTACTCCAAAACATCCAGGAGTGCCTACGACGTTTGAATAAGACACCTACCCGAGAGTGCGTCAAGGCCTTGCATGAGCGGCGCGAAGCGCAGCGTCATGAAATCGCGGTACAGCGCGTCGTTCTGCGTGTACGGGCGTTTCTCCTTGTCCATAATCTTGCCGAGTGCGGTGTGGGTCGCGTCCGCACACGCACTGAGCACGTGGTTGGCGATGCGCTGGAGGTGCTGCTGGACCGCAGTGGGCGCTTGCGTCGAAGCGATCGCGCGGCTCGTCACGTCGGCGAGCAGCGCCTTGTAGCTCTCAAAGAGCGCTTGCATCGGAGCATCCCAAAAGCTCAAGTAGCGCTGCTCCGTCACGTTCGCAAACGTCGTGTACGAGAGGAAGAGCGAGAGCTCGTCGCCGCGGCTGTCGAGCATGAGCTGCTTGAGCTCCGTCGTGTCGAGGGCCGACAAGAAGCGCCACTCGGTGCCGCGTTTCAACCATGAGGAGTTCTTGTTGGTTATCACACGGCGCATCGAGTTGACGTCGGTAATCATCTGCACCAGCCATGTGTCCTCACCTTTGCGAACCTCGACGTAATCGCCGACCAGTGGCGTCCGCTCGTCCATGTCAACCTTTTTGGCGTCGACGGTCGACACGCTGTCAATGGCTTTTTGGAAAGTGCCTTCCAGGCGTCGCAGCTGTGCCCGCAGTCGGTTGTCGTCCGACCCATCGCGAAAGAAGTCGCCCTTGTACTGCCCATGGGCCGCATCGTCCAAATGCTGTTTGGCAATACGGACGTACTCCATGTAGGCCTGGCGGCGGGCGCCCACTGTGTGCAATGGCGGCCCCATCGCTGCAAGCTCGCGCTGGCAGATGGCGGTTTGGGCGTCAATCTCAGCGTACACCTTGGGCAGCTCGCTCTCGACAAACGCGAGTAGGAGCTTCGAGAGCTTGGTCGCGAGGCGGCTCGCTCCGAGCAGATGCGTGTCGACCGTGCGCCAGACAGAGTGCGCTGCAAAGTAGGCAGCTTCCTCGTTGCGCGCGGCTTCAATCGACACGCCCTTGTTGAGCGCGTCTTGCCCGCGGCACTTGACCATGTGGTAGCCGTGGCTCGCATTCTTCTTGGTGCGGTTCGCTAGCAAATCCAACACGGACTGCTCCGCGCCAACGTCGACGAGGTCCGGCTTGGTGAGGATCGACATCGTCCGGATCCCGTCCGGATCCACCTCCTTGGACGCTTGCAAAATCTCAGTGTTGTGCATGTCCACGTTGGCAGGTACGACCGCCAAAATGATTGTGCGCTCTTGCTGCAAGAAGCGCTGCACGAGGGCCCGGACGCGCGCAATCATCCCGACGTCTTCGTCGTCACCGACCGTGCGGATGAGCCCCGGGAGGTCCACCAGCGTCAAGTCCGGCAGCATGGGGCCTTGCAGCGTGATCTCGATCCAGTCGTCGCTGATGCTCTGGCCCTCATCGACGAGTTGCTGCGTGAGCGATGCAATTGCGGCAGTGACATCCGCCATGCTCGCAATTGGCGTCGGTGGCTCGGGCGCCCCGTTGTAGCGCATGAGGCGCGCCGAGCCCGAGAGTGTGGGCGCCTGCGAGAGCACGAGCTGCGTCGGGCAGCGCGTAGTGAGCGTGCTCGACGACGGAAACGTAATGCCCGAGATGGCCGACAAGACGGACGACTTGCCGCTCGACGTGTCACCCATGACCGCGATCTGCGGCAAGGCAATGTACTTGTCGAGGTGGTAGGCGCGGAGACGGTCGACCAAGTGGCGACGACTCGCGCTCACGTTGGTGACAAAGTGCGACTCCGTGAAGGCGGTAGGAGCAGGAGCGGCGGTGAAGGAGCGAAACATTGCGCGCGAGTGGCAAAAGCAAATGTGCTGGACGTCGACAAGGGAGCTTGCATCAGAGAAGAGACACAGTTCGTGTCCGTTGGACCCAGAACGAGCGCAAGACAGTGCAGTCGAGCCTACAACAACGCAGTCAAACCCGACACCAGTGATGTCGAGGGACCATTGGTAAAATGGGCATCTTCATTTCGCCGAATCTCACGAGGTGGTGGTCTAAAGCAGTTTGAACGCCTTGGTGCACCACCGACAGGTCATAAATTTCGAGATAAAACACACATTCCGTTGTCGATAGCGATGGACAAATCTCTGTGCACAGCGCCTTTTTACACTCCCTGGACGGTCCGATGTTCTTGTTCTCTGTAAGAAAAGAGGACCACTACAGACACGTAACCGTAGTCGCTCAGATCTTAGTCATAGCTCCTGGCATCCCAGATCTGATTGTGTCCATTTGCAAATCATGTCCTGATCTTGAACTTCATGACCTGTTCCGGGCGATACGATTGGCTAGAATAAATTGGATTTCACGTTTGATTGGCGGGTTTTGCAACATCAAATTGCGATGGCGCTTGTCGAGGCCTGGAAGGTGGACCAAATCGACGCACTCCTCACGTACCGGCGTCTCCACGGCAATCTCGAGATACCCATCGGCTTTTTTGTGCCATCAACTGCCGAATGGCCGAGTGCGATGCACGACGTGCAGCCCACACGCGTACTTCCGGTGCTGCGTAAGCACGTCTACGAGCCTCCCGAGGACTACGCCGATGGTGTCCACGGACCCGAGTCGGGTTTCATCACTCATCTACCCAACTTGCCATGCAGTGTCTCGCCGACGAGCACCCGGTGCACCCGCCATTATCGTTTGATGTGCCGGCGGAGCCGCCGTGGCCGCAAGATCTCTGGGGCGTCGACTTGCTCCAGCTCAGCGACAAGCGCGATGCGTGGCTTGCAGAGATGGCGATCCAGTATAGCGCGTCGCTGGCACTGCTCCAGGTGCCGTCGATCGAGCCGCCCGCAGTGACTTTCAACAAAGTCTACCCGGTGCAACTCGTGCTGCAGTGCATTGAGGTGTACCAAGCACTGCACGGCCAAGCTCTCATTCCGCTGCTCTTTCACGTCCCGCTGCGCGACGCCAAGTGGCCTCAGGATGCGTCGTTGATGCCGCTGGGGT